CTGCCACTACTACTACTACTACTACTACTACTACTACTACTACTACTAACACTGTTACTACTACTACCACTACTACTGCTACTTCTATTAATACTACTACTACTACTACTAGTAGTACTACTACTACCACTACCACTAATATTACTACAGTTACTACTACTACCATCACTACTGCTGCTACTAGTACTACTACTACTAGTGCTACTACTATTACTACTTACTATTACTACTACTACTACTACTACTACTACTGGTACTACTGCTATTGCTGCTACTGCTACTACTACTACTATGAATACTGCTACTACTACTAGTACTGCTACTGCTACTACTATCACTACTACCACTACAAATATTACTAGTAACCATGTTTTCAACTGACTGCCATACTTCTACTACTACTGTTACTGAGGCAAGTATTTAAATTTGAGTTACCCAAAGAGCCCCTCACCAAAACAAATTTCACATTTTAATTCTGGGGTAAATGCTTTTATCCATGACGTGTAGACTGATGTAAAATAAGATATATGTATGTATATATGTATATATGTATGTATGTATGTATGTATGTATGTATAGATGTATATTCTTATCTTCTGATCCTTAAGTCTGTAAAATGACACGTGTGCAGAGGAGTATAATGTGACTGAAACTGACTGAAAGTGTTTTTAAACTCTGTAGTTTGTTTAACATTTTGTGTCCGTGATATGTCCCTTACTTATTTCATTGTACATCACGCTACTTTTATTATATTCACTTATAACCCAGTAATACGCAAACACGGGAGCCAAGATGGGTGAAGTGCCAAAGTACACCATGACAATATTTAGTGACAGCAACGGGTATTGAACCAGCGACCTCTGAGTCAGTGGGCAACCCCTCATGAAAATAGACCCATAATCTGTGGTCGTTTATTTATTTTTTATTTATGTATTTTGCACGTATAATATAATAAAAAAATAAAAAAAAAAAAAACACTAGAAAAAAAGTAGGTGCTGGAAGAGACAAAACCCCCCAAAAGGGCTTATATTAAAGCCTCCTCCTTACGAATACATTAAAAGTTGAACATTATCATTGTGCATAAAAAAAATAGTATAATAATAGTTTGTATAGTGCTGATTCTATTCATGAGTCTCAGCTTCCTTCTAAATGCAAAATTGCTAGAATATTTTGTTTTTAATTGTTCATTCCTATGGCAACTATGCTAATTTCTCAATAAAATATAATAACCTAAATTATTTTCTTGGACGATAATGATAAGTAAGTGGAAAAATGTGTTCAAGGTATCACGTTGAGCTCATTTTCAAACTAACTGAGTAACTTGTAAGTCAGAAGAAGTTTGTAAAATAGAACACAGACTCATTTGGTGACAGTGTAATAAGTATTTTATTGCATTTTATAATGCCATTGTCAATAATTAGTACAGATTACATGCAACTAGATCTACTGTACAGTTTTTTATTGTCTGCGGACAGACACAGGTTACAAATACACAGATATATGTGTTTATACAGCATGAAGGAGAGGGCAGTGACTGGCAGTACCGCCCCCTACTGTCCAACTGAGTCTACTGCCCAGTCCTGGCCCCGCCTCTTTACACGGCCACACTTCCGATAAACGAGAAAAACAAAATCAAAAGAAGATAAAACTGAAACTAAAGAAACAAGAAAAGTCACTGTTGGAAATGTACACACACATTCCTAAGGTTTGAGCGGAGGAGCTGAAGTGGTCTTTACGCTGTGGCTAACTATCGCCCGCCCTGACTCCGCCCCCGATCCGATGATGTCGCCTCAGAACCGACCAATCGCACGCCGCGGTTCAGACTGTCTCCCGTGAGCGTGGAGAGGGTTTGGAGTTAGCTTGTTTGGTTAGAAAGTTAAAGTCTCTGCGTTGGTTTGGTTCAGGTTTGGTTTAGGCCGAAGCAATGGTGAGTTCTATTGACCCCACGTAACCATAGTAACAGTGCGCACGCCGAACGGGTTAAAACGGTAAATACAGGTTTTTAGATCGCAAAAACAACACCAATTTTCAAGTGACTAGCAAACATTATATACCCATACATGAATATTACATAGGGTTACTTAAAATTATGGTATCTTGGAAATTTACGGTTAAAATAATATCATCAGTTGGAACATTTTTAGCAATTTTCTGATTACGTTTGGTTTAAAATTATACTTCTCTGCACACTGTTAATGCTGTTTACGCAGTCACTCTAAGGGTCTGTAGCTTTGGTCGAACATTTTGGTTTTCACAATATATGAACTATATCAGAAATCCTGTTTGGCCCTTGCGTTTTTTGTTTTTTTTCTATGGCAAGCCAGAGGTGCCACTTTAAAGCAACACCGCAAGACAATACGTGCGCGTGTGTTTGACAGCTCTGAGTTCAAAGTTCAAAGTTCATCACGGTCGAGGACGGAGGGAGGGGCGGGAAACTCCACTTGTACAGCTCCACGTTTTAAAGCAAGATATCGCGCTACATTAACTTCCATTTCTGTTTTTTATCTGCAGATTTTGGTCCTGTTTGAGCAAAAAAGTCCTTCTGAGGTATCGGTACATAACGAAGTAACTTTTTCATTTCCTTAAAAATGCATAAATGCAGTACAGAGACAAAAGTATCAAAATAGAACTAGCTAAAGATAAATATACAAACGGTCGTCACCTAAACCACTGATCTAACAATTCATCTTTTCATTTTTTCAGCGATAATACATTTTAAAAAATCAGCGTCCCAGACGTTTCATGAAGAACCAATAAAAATGGAAAGAAAAACTATTATTAAAAACCAAAGTTACCTGCAGCACTTAAAATGATAAATACAAACACATAAGCAACAGTAGAAGAGCGGAGAGCTTTACAACGCTGCGAAAAAAGAAACAAAAATCAACCCTAAACAGAATCAAATGCCCTGGAAAGAGAAGTCAAGCATAATATACAAGAATACATTATGAGGGAAACAAAATGGCCGCCTGTGGCACGAATCTGGCAGGTCACAGGGTGCAGCTAAAGTTTTATGCAGCAGTTCCTCTGGGTTTGGATCACAACGGTTTGGGTAAATGTAAAAGTGTGTCGTAAAATCAAAGCGTCTCATTGGGCGAGAGGAAGAAAGGGGCGGAGCTCTGTGGGAGTCTTTGGATATTTGAATAGTGTCAGAGCCGGCGTAGCCCCCTCTAGTGGTCAGTTAGTGTGGTGCGGCGGCCCTGCGTACATGGGGCATTTTATGAACTGATGAAAATGAGTTTGTGGGGCCAGAGAAGCTCACCTACTAACTCACAGGTTGATGGTTTAATCCCCGCTTATAAGACCATTTACTGACATTGTGTCCTTGGGCAAGACACTTCACCCACACGTCAAAAATACACTGTGTTAATGCAGTACTGTAATTGCCCACTAACAAACAGTTTGATGTTTGATTCCAACTAATAGGAAAGCACATTGTCATTGTGTCATTGGGCAAGACACTTCACCCACATTGTCAAAAATAACTTTATAGGGGAGTGGTTTAACTGATAGAAATTTGCTCACTAGCAGCCTGATGGTTTGATTCCCACTAATGGAAACGTATTGGAAATGACATTGTGCCATTGGGCAAGACACAAGTAGTTTAATCAATAGAGATTGCCCACAAGCAGTTTGATGGTTTGATGCCCACTAATAGAAACGTATACTGACAATGTGTCATTGGGCAAGACACTTCACCCACATTCTCAAAAATAATTTTATAGGGGAAGTAGTTTAATTGATAGAGGTTTGCCCACAAGTAGTTTGATGGTTTGATGCCCACTAATAGAAAAGTACACTGTCATTGTGTCATTGGGCAAGACACTTCACCCACATTGTCAAAAATGACAAAAGCTGAACTTGCTGCGGTAATAATTATTTTCATTAACTGTTTTCTGTTTTCAAAATGTGGGTGATAGAACTAGAATACGCTAGTTCAATTTAGTTTACATTTTCACAAACAAAAACTTGAGTGACTTTTGGAGCAGGGGGTTCAATTTCAGTTCATAAAAACACCACCATGAAAACAGGGCCTAGGTACTTCCCAGCCTCTTCTGAGACGCTTCATGTGGTCGAAGGAGAGGTAGTCGTTTCACTTTTGTATTTTTGGGCTAGAGTCCAGATCAGCTTTTTAAATATCAGTCTTACAGTAACAATCATTTTGGCATTTGTTATTGATATTATAGAAGAATGGTGAAAGAAGAAAAATACACCGGAGTTCAGTCTCCCATTGGCTATCATTGAACTGTCTTTGAAAAGGAGGTAGTGTTATTTTTGGTTTTCAAGATGTCAGCCTACCACTTCTGTTATAAAGTCCTCATGTTTTGACCATAAAATTATCACAAACGTGGTTATATTAAATGAAATACAAGAGAAGATTTTGAGTAAAATATAAGGATTAAATGTATTTTTTCCCATTATTTTGAAATGGTCCCTCTTCAACAGTGCTCTTATTTGGCAGACCTCATAGGGCACATCTGGGTTACACCACAGGTTATATGTTTTAAAGCTTGTTTGTAGATATCGGCTTGGTAAAAACATGGGGTCAAATGTGCACCTAAAATGGGTCAAAGTTTTGTACGGAATAGGGTTAAACTAGTGTGGCGTTAAAGGACAAGTCAAGCTATCGGTTACAGCTAAATTTAAATGATGAAAAATGATTCTAAAAAAATAATAATAAAATAAAAAAATATGGGAAATATCACAAATTGTACATAAAAATACCTGGTAATTTTTGAGTAAGTTCTTATGTCAAAAAAAACAAACAAAAAAAACAAAGTGTGATGTGGAAAAACAAAATAGAAAAAAATATTTAAGGTGGAAACACAAACAGCTCTCGCATAGTGGTATATTTATATATTCGTCTTTTTTTTTATTTTATTTTTTATCATACTTCTTATTACAGTTATTTTTAATGATTTGTTGTTTTGACTTGTCCTTTGGGCCACCGTAGCACACCTGTGAGTGCTTTAATATAGTGGAGTTGTGTAGCATTGGTCTTTTTTTTTTTTATATATTTTTTATTTTTTGGAATGGTCAGCAATGTTCCCAGATAGCGGATATAATTTTAATTTGAAACTCCTGCTTTGTTGTCATTTGGCCAGTTCTTTCAAAATAAGAGTCTTTCAATAAAGGGCATTTAAGTAAACTACAGGGTTTTTGGTTTTCTACACATTTCTTTGGTTAACCTGTAACAAAAAATAAAAACGGGAATACGCCTTGATAAACATAATATTAAATTTGGCATGGCACGGTAAAGAATGCTTTCTATGCTCACAGAAAACAAGCGAAAATTATAAATCTGTAACACACACAGTGAATGGCAGGTCAAGTCTAGACAGTAACTAGTACAACCATATAGAGCTTTGAGTTCGAGCTAAGCAGAAGTTGCCAGATTTGGTTTCCCACGTCCAAAATCCCCCTTTTTTATCGATCGTTTTGGACACAGTTCAAGGAGGGGATCTTGGTGGGTTTGAGGTATTCTCTTGCTGCAGTAATACATTTTTTTGAATATATATTTTTAAAGCATTACCGATATTCCTCAAAGTAAATACAACAGGAAAAGTGAGAGAAAACGTTAAATAATAATAATAATAATAGTCATGTTGTCTGGAAAATGGCAACTTTTAAGTGCTAAGTCCAATTTTTTGCTTGCTACACTTGGGACAATACTGCTTTATCTTTCTTAAATTTGGAATGGTGTGAACAAAAATAAAACAAATTACGATATCATAAACATAAACAGCATGTCGAGAAATGAAAAGTATCGATCTTTGAGTAAAACAATAAAAATATCAAATAAAAAGGAAAACAGAAGTGACAAAGCTACCACACATTTTTTCTCGATAAAGTTTTTTTTTTCTTTTTAGTCACAATATGTAGATCCTTCCGCCTCGTCTTTCTCAAAGTGTTCCCAGTCGGATACAGCACCACTAGTGTCCATTTCAGAGACGTTTTTGGGCAGCAACAAAATGGCGGCAGAGAATAAAGTCTTGTTCTATATCTGGCCTCGAAGAATCGTCCAGGAACTAGAATTCAGGTGGAACTGGGATGCGTTGGAGGTATATTTTTTAAAACTTTGTTGTCTAGTCTCCCAGCATTTTAAGAGATCATTGGTCAAAGGGTTGCTCCCAAGTCTATGTACAAATCGGTGAGCGTGGATGTGAGTGTAAGTGTCCACTAGGGGTCTCTAAAACCACGAAGTTAATGGTTTTGAAAAGTTGAAGTTTAGTGTGCAAGTGTATGTATGCATCGAGTGGTTCTTAGTGCCAAGTTATCAAAATGGAGGTAAACGAGTGCTCCACAGTCTTGGTTCTTAGTGAAGGAGGATTCAGAAACCCTGTATACAGTTCACGTTCTTGGTTGTTTGCTTAAAATAATAATAAAAAAACCTAAATAAAAACATTCGTATTTCTTTTTTCTTTTCTCTTAAGTGTTGTCCTTTGCCCCTTAGTAGTGACAGAGAAAAGGGGGCGTGGTCAGTCCCGAGCCCCGCCCTCAAACAGGTAAGTAAGGGAGGGGCTAGATGGGATGGGTCCGGCTAGGGTCCCTCTCCAGCTCCTTATAAGGTATGGGTGCGGGGTTGGTGAGTGGGATGGGTACCAAATGGGTTAGTCGATGACAGTTACGTAGTATGAGTAGTTTGAGGATGTTTGCAGGTTGGGAAAGGTTCTTGGCGACCTCGAAAAAAAGAATTTGGCGTTGCTTGCTGGGTGGGATGGGTCCTAATGGGATGTTTGTTTTGGCTTGAAATTTTTTGGGACTTTACCATAAAAGAGCGCAATGTTTTCTAGTGGGATGGGTGCCTGCTTGGTGGTCTTGGTTGTAGGGTGGGATGGGTTCTTGACACCCTCAATCCTGGTTTTTGGTAGGATGCATCCTGCTAAATTTTGAGTTTTAAGGAAGGGTGTCCTGGTTAGAACCACCTTTACCTTAAATGGTATTATAGATTTCTGAACATTTTAGGGTGTAAAAGAGTCCCATGTTGGCAGGTGAGATGGGTCCTCTGTGGTCTTGGGTCCAATGTAGGATGGGTGCCGGATTTAGTAGATGTCTGTTGATTTTGTAGTAGTGGGGCCTCCAAGAGCTCTTTGCAGATAAAGAGTCGTGTAAGGTGTTATGGTCTGTTGGTGGTCTTAGGGTGCAGGGTGGGATGGGTCCTTACTCAGTGGTTTTGTGTGCAGGGTGGGATGGGTCCTCAGTGGTCTTGGGTGCAGGCTGGGATGGCTGCTCAGTGGACTTGAGTGCTGGGGGGAATGGGTCCTTGTTTGGTGGTCTTGGGTGCAAGGTGGGATGGGTCCTCAGTGGTCTTGGGTGCAGGCTGGGATGGTTGCTCGGTGGTCTTGGGTGGTGGGGGGATGGGTCCTTGTTTGGTGGTCTTGGGTGCCCCGTGGTCTTGGGTGCAGGGTGGGATGGGTCCTTTTTGGTGGTCTTGGGTGCCCCGTGGTGTTGGGTGCAGGGTGGGATGGGTCATCTCTACTCCAGCAGCTCCTCTGTGGGCAGGTCTTCCTCCAGGTCGCGCTCGTCACTGGGGAGGGGCAGGCTGTGTGAGACCCCAGTGAGGAGGGACACGGGTCGGCTGTCCTCCTCCAGCTCAGTGGGCTCCTCCTTCACGTGCACCGGGTGGCTGTGGGGAGGACACAAAGAGGTGATTAAAAACTCATTCATTTTAATTTTACCAGCAGTTTTCATAGTATTTATAGGAGTGATGTGAAATGGTTTGGGATGGACTGACTGACATCCAACAATACAATTTCTTAGTAATAGTATTAGCAGTGCTGCTCAAATCTGAGTGTAAGTACTAGTAGTAGGAGTATTTGTATTAGAGGCAGTTAGTATGGTAGTATTCATTCCTGTATTGCTCAGAACAAAGGTTATGTTGTATGTATGTCTTAGTTTGGTTCTGGTCTAGTATATAGTACACTAGTTGTAGTAGCAGAGGTAGTACAACTTGTGTTAGTAGTATTAGCAGTAGCTGCTGTGGGCTGAGGTCAGGAATGAAATTGCCAGTGCTGCGCACCTGCCCCGTACTGGAGCATAGTAGTAGTTGTAGTAGTACCTGTACTGCTGTGGGCTGAGTGTGGGGCTGTGTGTATGTAGTAGTAGCAGTAGTAGTAATAGTAGTAGTGGTAGTAGTAGTAGTAGTAGTAGTAGTAGTAGTAGTAGTAGTAGTAGTAGTAGTAGTAGTATTAGTACTTGTAGTGCTGTGGGCTGAGTGTGGGGCTGTGTGTATGTAGTAGTAGCAGTAGTAGTAATAGTAGTAGTGGTAGTAGTAGTAGTAGTAGTAGTAGTAGTATTAGTAGTATTAGTACTTGTAGTGCTGTGGGCTGAGTGTGGGGCTACAGATGCCATTGCTGTGCACCTGCTCCACAGTGGAGCTGATAGTAGTAGTATTAGTGACTGTATGGCTCTGGGCTGAATGCAGGGCTATGTGTATGTAGTAGTAGTAGTAGTAGTAGTAGTAGAAGTAGTAGTAGTAGTAGTAGTAGTAGTAGTTGTAGTAGTAATAGTAGTAGTAGTAGTAGCAGTAGTATTACCTGTACTGCTGTGGGCTGAGCGTGGGGCTGCAGCTGCCGTTGCTGTGCACCTGCTCCACGGTGGAGCTGACGTCGTCATGTCCCACGTGCAGCATGTTGAGGCTGGGGGCCGAGGGAGGGGTCCCCAGAGACGAACTGTTCAGGAGGGACAGGCTGCTCTCTGCCAGCGCCGCCTGCACGCACACACACACACACAGAAACACACACACACACACGTTATTCACTATGTCAGAATCAGACTGTCACGATTCATTTCCTCAAATAATCTAGTAAATAAATGTATAAATGAATAAACATAAATGGATGTAGGATGCACTGTTGTGTTGTTGTGCATATGAATAAACTCCTTCATTCATCATACTAAACTGTCTTCCACGGGAAATTTGCCTTGGTCGACTTAATGGTTATCAAAATAATGAAAACGTTTCTGGATTGTTTAATTATATTTCATAAATTTGGATTAATGACATTGTATATTAAGTGCTGTGAGACTAACCACACATCTGGTCATTTGTAATTTGTGGTTCTACTTGTGTGTACACTGATAAATAAATCACAGTTCTAGACACGGAAATGACGCTCGGTGCGGTACAATATGCAACCTGGATATGTGCGACAGATTTTGAAAACCTAATTGACACAAAACAGTGGCGTTTAGAAGAAAAATTGACAAAGCTTCAAATGATCCTCTGTGGGAACGGCTCTGCTCATTTGGAAGTGATTCAAAGGACTGTAAACCAGAGCCGTGTTATGAAACCCATTTGCACTGACGATAACTGCACCAAAACTGCCGAGCGAGCAGATGGCAGACGCAATTGTCCAAGTTACGTCTCCTTTCAGTCTATTTATAGGTAAATCTGTAATTATATATTTATTTTGTCTTCTAATAGCGTCTTAAATATTTTTGTCGATCTGGAAATTCTTCAATTCTCTTACATTTCTTTGCATTATTCTGCCAATTCCCATGAAACCAAAAGGCTAATTTGATCCATAATTAAAACACAACAATTATTTTTATTTCATTAGAAAATAAATGATCTTTAAAACATCTTCATGTGTTCAGCTATTGCACGTTTCACTTGTTTATTATCTTAACTGACCACTAGGGGGCACTTAGATACAGGGCATGACGGCTTGTGCTTCCAGAGGACGGCTCTTGCTCTTTCTCCGCAATCCTTTTAATATTTTTACTTCAAATTTAGATAAAAATGAACCCAGGAAATATCGTTAACATCTACAAAACCAACTTCAAATTTTATCCAAATAATATGAACCTTACAAGTGTCAAATTTCTAGTTTTTCTCAGTCAAAAATGATAAAAAAAAAAGACAGGATTGTGGCTGTCTTTTTGATTCTCAGACAATTTCTCGGATAATTTTATGCGCTAACCCTAATTGACAACTATGGGCTGCGATAAATCATGTAAAAAATTGCACTGGCGAAAGAGAGAAAGGGAAAAGAGGGAGGAGAAAGAGAGAAAGGTAGAGTAGGAGAGAAAGACAGAAAGAGAGAGAGAAAGAGAAAGAGAGGGAGGAGAGGGGGGTCATTAGGGAATCTGCTAATTATAAAAGAGAATTGATATTAGTGCCCTTGATGGTGATTGGCTGCTTCTGCTCGGAGAGGTGCGCCGAGAAGAAGAAGAGAGAAATGGGACAGAGGCGGGTCGGTGTCGGAGTGATTTCGAAAAGAATTGTATAATTGCGTTTTTTTTTTTTTTTTCTACAATTTCGAACCGATTTGGAAAAAAAAATTAAAAATCAGTACACGAGCGTTAATATTTGAAAGAGAGCGAAATTATGAACGGCTAAATGAACACAAGAATCACATTTCAGAACATTTTCAAATAGGTCTACGTTGGCAGGTTTTACACGCAGATATTTCGTTCAGAATACTACCTAAAGTACTGCAGTATTTTTGATTAGATTAGCGAATTACTGCGACTACCGTGTTGGATGGGAGTGTACCTGGTAGCTGGCGTTTAAAGATCCAAAACCAAGGCCTGAAATCATGTTCTTCACCAGAGTGGGGCTTCTGTGGACAAAAAACAAACAAAAAAATACACAAAATTTATTAGAATATATACATTTCTGTATACACATTGTAGCAGTTATATTGGGTTTTCACAGTGTACTATGTTTTGTACGTAACCAGAAGTAGGCCAGGTTTTGTCCAATACCTAGTCGTAGTAGTAGTTTTCGAAAAATGTGTTAGTCATCATCTTTGTTAGTATTTATAAAGTACTTTCAATGCATTTTTGTCTAAGAATGTGTTGGTTTTTTTGCAAGTATTAATACATTATAATTACTTTGTTCCCATTAAAGTAGCAGTAGTTTTTGTACATACACTGAAATCTGAGTGTTTGATAAATACCGACTAATAGTAATTAAGTAACAGCTAATTAGGATATTTGACTGTAAACGTAAAACATGATTTCAATATTTTTAAATCAGAGGAGTTTTGAGCGATGAAATTCGTTTGAGGATTTCTGCGATACTTTTGAGCTAAAGGACAATAAGAAGAAGGGGCTGGTTCATACGGTGCGATGCGGAGGGGAGTTCATTATGTCTGCACATCTGTTTACACATCTGTTTACAGTCTGTTTACAGGCTCCGACAAGGCCTCACTTCTCCCTCTGCGGCTGCTTCCAACGCCATTCACAAAATCAAACTAATCCGGCACTGACTATAGGAAAACGCTTAAAAAACTGGTGATGTTCAAAGAAAAATTGTGAGAATATTGGCACCGATATTGAACATTTTGGTGGCTTTTAAGATTTTTTTGGGTCTATAAATTGTGTACAAATGTAATAAGACTACGGATGTAACGGTATCCAAATCTCACGGTATGATATTATCTCGATATGCATCTCACGGTACGATTATTTTTATTGCGATATTTTGAAGAGACTAAAATAATTGTACAGTAGATAGGACGCTTTTTTGCTTTTAAAATACCTTGACAAGATTTTGGTGTGAATTATTTCTGTCGTAATCCCAAAAATTCAAGTAAAAAACATATTTCTTCATGTTGTCTGCGCTGAAATGAATCATGGGATATGTAGTTCCTGATGTTTGTAAGCTGTTGCTACTTGTAATTTGATATATTGTGACAGCCCACGATATTATTGTGAGAATTCCACGATATTTCGGTTATTGTTACATCCATAAATAAGATAATTTACTAGCCAATGTTTTTACAAATAACAAATTGCGATTATTTTTTACTGTATGTTGTTTGAGTTTAAAATACATTGTGCATATCTAGAAAAATGAGGTGAAATGTGGACATCTTCAGCCTGAGTATGTGATATTTGAACTGCTAAGTGTTTCTCTACATCGTCCCCATAATAAATGCAATTTGGATGTTAATTACTCGACTCCTTTAATGAATACAAGTCAAATACGTGATAAAATATTCAGAGAGTGGACTACAGAGGGACAGAGGAGCTCATTCTCCAAAAGGCTCCTACAGTGAGAGATACCATACTCCATACAAGTGTACAACAACTCACCGTTATGTCATATAATACTCCCTACAACTGTACCACAAATCACCCCAGTGTAACAGATAACCCCATGTCCTTTCAATCATTATTTATCTTTGTATTAAGTATTTTGCAGAGATTTTTAGACCAATTTAAAGATGAAATGTAGGAGATTTTGATAAAGAATTTGACAATAGATTTTTCTTAATTTTTCAAGAGGTTTTTGTGTGTTTGGTTTGCTCAAATACACAATTGGGCTGTTATCTCAAATTAAATGTGGTAAAATTAAGCCTCAGTACATTTTACTTTTCAATCCAAATCTAAAATGTAGTGTAGAGTAGGAAGTACAGATACATATTCTCAAACGTAAAAAGTATCCACTGTAAAATGCACTTACGTAAAGTACACACCTAAAATTTGTACTTAAGTAATTTACTTTTGTACTTAGTTACCTTACGATTAAACGTTTTTCTCTTTGTTATTATGAACAACATGAAAATAGAACAAAAACTTTGTCCATATATACATGTATTCAAAAGTGCAGTTAAAAAAGGGATTATTTCAAAATACTGTGCTCAAAAAATGAGTGCTTAGTGTATATGTGTGCATGTATATGTATGTATGTATGTATGTATGCGTGTATGTATGTATGTGTGTATGTATGTATGTATGTATGCATGTATATATCTACGTATGTATGTATGTATGTATATATCTACATATGTTTGTATGTATGTATGTATGCGTGTATGTATGTATGTTTGTATGTATGTATGTATGTATGTATGTATGTGTGTATGTATGTATGTATGTATGTGTGTATGTATGCGTGTATGTATGTATGTGTGTATGTATGTATGTATGTATGTATGTATGCATGTATATATCTACGTATGTATGTATGTATGTATATATCTACATATGTTTGTATGTATGTATGTATGTATGTATGCGTGTATGTATGTATGTGTGTATGTATGTATGTATGTATGTATGTATGTATGTACTGTATGTATGTATGTATGTATGTATGTATGTACTGTATGTATGTATGTATGTATGTATGTATGTATGTATGTACTGTATGTACTGTATGTATGTATGTATGTATGTATGTATGTATGTATGTACTGTATGTATGTATGTATGTACTGTATGTAAGTATGTATGTATGTATGTATGTACTGTATGTACTGTATGTATGTATGTACTGTATGTATGTATGTATATATGTATGTATGTGTATATTATATCTGTGTACATAATTATAGCTTATATTGTACAATGAAATGAGAAGTCTATATGTTCTTTTTAAATTTGAAACAGTAGAAAAAAGGGTGGGGTTAAATATGTATGTTTTTCAGACACAAGTAAAATTTGCGTGGTATTTATTTTTGTTTATTATGATAGAAAAGAAATATTAACTTTTTGTATTATATCTCTGTATTCACATTTTCTATAAATGTTTTTTTTTTAAATCATTCATTCATTCTAATATATTGTGATGTGTGAGCTACTGTGTCCAAATCCTGTCCAAATATACCAATGTTCCTCTCTCGGATCTGGCCAGGAGGTAGTATTTCTTTCAGTACTACATTGATTACATGGCATTTATCAGCAAATACATGGAGATAAATAGTCTTTAATAGTTATTTTTACTCAGAGGAATATTCTTGTTTGCAGTACTGTTTACATTCTATGAGGCTATAGTGTGTCCCAGTATGACGTCATGGCTGGGTTGAGGTCATACCCGGTCATCTTTGGTGGTCTCCTCTTTTGGTACTCGACCTCGTCCACGGTCCACACGGCGCCCTTCACGTTCTCCACGCGCACGAAACACTTGTGCAGGCTCAGGTTGTGGCGCACGGCATTCTGGGTAAAAAAGACAGTAAGGAAAAGGGTAAGTGTGATCATTTTTAACTTCTATTGCTATGTAGGGTTCACTGTTACAGATTTGATTACAGGTTTTAGATGAGAGAGGATGAGTGTGTGAATAATTTTAAGTTCTAATAGGTTTATTGGCTATTGGTCAATACAAATTTATATAAACATAAAAAAAAAAAGAATACATACTAAAATGCAACAATTGAACTTGCAGAACACACACACACTCACAAAGAAAAATCTGATACAACTAAACAGCAATGATGCGAAAATGAACAAAACAAAAGAAAGACAATGCAATTATGCTTGAACAAAATGAATAGAAAATGCACAAAATGAAAAATTGGGACTGTTGCCATAGAGACTCACAACGCAAAAGTAAAAGTATCACATGAAACACACTGAAAAAGTAAAAAGTACAAGTGTTTAGTGCAGATTTTGAGACATAATAAAGCTTAAAATTAGTTGATTTTGATAAAGATTTGCAAAAAATTTTGTTCAACAGAAACAACTGAATGTATATTTTTCTCAGCTGTTTTTATTTTTATTATTTTCGCATTTACTCAAACTAGAAATATGTTAAAAAATAAACTCTCAGCCTTTTCAGTGGGTCTCAAAAAACTATAATAAATATACTTTTACTTTTCAGTCCTGTAGTGTAGTGAAGTAGAAAGTACAGACACCTGCTCTCAAATGTAGAGAAAAAGTAAAAAGTACACAGATCTTTACTACTTTAACTTTACTTTTACTTCTACAGATACATTAGTGAATATTTTGTGTCAAATAAGTTATGCAGTTGTAGTAATAGTAGAAAAGTATACGTGTTTCCCAGTTTGGTTTAAGGCCTTCTTTGGTTATGACTCTTAAAAAAATAACTCCCAATGAGATCCAGCTCTAAATATTACACCCCAGCTTATCTCTGAGCTAATAATTTGACATATTTTCTTTTAATTCCCGGTTTTGACGTGAAACGAAACAATTTAACTTCTTTTGCAAAATCCATTAACATCACAGCTTTTCAAAATAATCTTTTTAATATCTTGAAGAATTTCCTTGATATTTTCGCCGCGAGCATGTCCTTAATAACTCCGTAATCACCAGCTATTTCCTATTTTCGCTTCCAGTCCGAGAAACACTCCGCGATTTTTAAATTTGTCAGCAAAAAAAGTCTCGCATTTTTGTTGTCAGCCCGCGCTAATAAACGGCGGGGCTGCTTTCTTTGTATTTTTATCTTAAAATTTGCTAATCGCTAACACAAAGAGGACGTGGCGACGCGCGCGCTATCTCCCCGGCGCCCCCCCCAGGGACCAGCCTCCCCTTTTCATCTGCTATTTGTAGTTTGTTCATGCCCAATTTCATTAGCCATTTTAATTCGTCTATAATTAAATGGTGCATACTCTCCCTGACACGGCGCCGGAGAGGGGGGACGGGAGCGGGCGGGGGGGTGGGTGACAGGAGCGAGCGGGCGGCGGGAGCGGGCGGGCGTCACTCGTTTGTCATAATCACATGCAAAAAATGGTGAAAAAAACACACATACGTAATTATACAAGCTGTAATCAGCAGACAGGAGAGGCCAAAGAGGAGACCGCACTATAAAAAATACTTCTGTTCTGAATCATGATTGGAGGAGTATTGCATACGTTACATTCTACTACTTATGAGGGGATTGGAATTGACCTGTTTTGAGGGATTTCATACTGTTTTGAATATATTCTGTCTTATATTCTACACAATTTATAAATCATTTAAGTAAAAAAAATATACATATAGTAATAATCAATCAGAATAAAAAAACAGCTCAAATTCAGTCAAGAAAATAGGGGTTTAACGATACATGTATTCATGCCAAAACGTTTTGGTGCGGGATGTTCGGTGCAGGGCTGTGCATGAGTGATTTCTCACAATTTGTGCATGTTTACATTCTGCCACTACATGTGCAGCTACACGAAGGCTCGGTTCTTTAATATTCACGAGGGAACTTGTCTGTAATTTGGGTGCAGTGTTTCCAGCAGTGCTTTATATTTAGGGCAGCTGCCTTCACAACAATTGCCCCTCGTCTTGAGTATGTCTCTCTGAACCACATGAATCCTCGCAAAACTACAGCTGTCATGCCCAGCCTGAACCCCCCCAAAAATTCAGAAAATCTAGTAAAGCTTCATCCTGGAACTGTTAGTGCTGCGCTTTACTTTCTGGAAAGTTTTGTTTACTGTTTACAAGGAATTTATTTTTTATAATATTTCATACATTTGTTGCTTAATTGAGAATATTTTATTTAACTTATTAGTATTACCAAGCAGCAGTTCACATTTATTTTATTTTTCTGTTTGTATAATGTTAAAGTTGTTTTAATAAACACAAAAAGAAACAACTAGTAAATGGTTTTGTATTTTGTTCCCAAACTGTTCCGAAAATGAACCAAACCGTGACCTCAAAACCGACGTACATATCGAACAATGACTACTGCGCACTGTTACACTCCTATAAGCAAAATATTTTGGTCTAAAAATTGAAGTTAAAGTGTAACTTTCTAGTGGAGGATATGCCACCTGTGTGTTTCCATAGAGATGATATTTATAATCCTAGAATATTCCACAGTATGACATTAAACATCTGTCTTATATTTATTCAATTACACATGTTTATGGATTTATATATTAGCCTCTCCACAGATCTAACCTGTAACTTGTTCTGGTGGTTCTTGTTTTCACAGAGCCAGATAAGTTGTAACGCCCTATAGTGGAACATTACCGACATAGCATTAACATCTCCGTGGTAACAAGCATACGATGGACCTTCTACCACAAAAGTTACGTAGTGCATCTTTAATAAACTATTCAAAACTAATCAAACGTTGCCTATTGTGTGTGATTCGCGTCATTTGAACTAATCTATATCATTTTTTGCAGTGTACCTGATCTCCAGCGCTCCCCTGTACACCTCCCATAGACATATTATGAGGCGGCGATGCTAAGTTTTGTAAATGAGAATGACCCCAATCTTCTGACAGTGCAAACACAGACACGCACACGGACACACGGCGATGATGGTGAAGATGATGAGGAAGGGGGGAGGGCAGCGGAGGAAGAGAGGAGAAGAGAGAGAGAGACAGAGAGAGAGAGAGAGAGAGAGAAGAGAGGAAAAAGAGAGAGGAGGAGGAGGAGGGGGGGGCGATTTGCATTTTCGTGATCAAAGACTAATTCTGATGGTTAAAATATTAGCGGGGCGTTCACAAAGAGGCACAACACACACGCACACATCCACACAATCTGATGAGAGCGCAGAAAGGAGAAGCTGCTCCTCTCAGTTTTGTCTTGGAAACAAAAATATTTTACGGCAAAACTTTACAATGTCACCATTCACAATTTATGCCGTGATTTAGAAGAGAAAAATGCATATTAATAACATTTGTAGTGGAAAGATAATATTATGTAACGTCCTCAATAGCTCAATCATTTTTATTGACCTTTATCTAGGAAATCTATAGTTGAGCTACTAAAAGTTTCTAGAATCAACTTAGAAAATCTAATTAAGTGCATTTTTTACAAACAGTAACAGTATCTGATTTGATTCCTTTAGTCTGAGGTCAGTGTTAAGTCCTGGTTTAGTCTTGGTTTGGTCCTGGTTTAGACCTGATGTGATCTTACATTTTTAGGTTTAGACCTGGCTACTTGGTCTTGATTTATTCCTCCCATTCATAAAAATCTGTGCTGAAAATAGTCACGTTCTGACGTCTCAAACTATTGTAGTGTGAACAGTGACGCTTGCGCCTGTATGTGGTAAATGGTCACGTTTTATAGAGCACTTTTCCACCTTCAAGGCATTTTACATAGTGGAACTGCTCACCCATTCACACACACATTCATACACCCGTGTGCGCAGACACCGAGGGCGAGGAGGATGAAGTGTCTTGTCTAGGGATGCACCGATACGATATTGAATTCAGATATCTTGTTGATATTGAATATTTTGATGGACTGGATAACAGCTTCCAAGATATCAGTTTAGCCGATCCCATTTTGGTCTATAAACTGGTGTAATAAGATGCTTTAGCAGCCAAATGTCTTATATCCATCCATTTTCTTTCTCTTATCCGGGGACAGGTCGTGGGGGCAGCAGTCTAAGCAGGGATTCCCAGACTTCCTTCACCCCAGACACGTCCTCCAGCTCCTCCTCCCCAAGGTGTTCCCAGACCAGCCCAGAGACATAGTCCCTCCAGCATGTCCTGGGTCTTCCCCAGGGGCTCCTACCGGTGAGACATGCCCAGAAAACCTCCCGAGAGAGGCACCCAGGAGGCATCCGGAACAGATGCCCGAGCCACTTCAACTGGCTCCTCTAGACGTGGAGGAGCAGCGGCTCTACTCCGAGCTCCTCCCGTGTGACTGAGCTCCTCACCCTATCTCTAAGGGTGATCTAAGGCCCAACTACTCTGCAGAGGAAACGCATTCATTTTGACCGCTTCTATCCGCGATCTTGTTCTTTCTGTCATTTCCCAAAGTTCATGACCATAGGTGAGGGGAGGAACGTAGATTGACTGGTAAAGAGAGAGCTTTGCCAAATGTTTTATAATATTATTACATTTGTATCAACACAAAGCTGTTCTGGAGTTACAAAACACACTTAGATCATTTTTTACGTCATGCGTTTGTGTTTAAAGGAAATAAACAACATTTTCAATTTCTGCATTGGTTGTTATCGGTTGATATTGTATTGACGGATACTAAAAACCAAAGTATCAACATCGATATCGGAACAGAAAAAGCTGGATCGGTGCATCCCTAGATCATAGTGACAGCATTCATCTGAGGGAGCTGGAATCACACCGCTGACCTGTGGGTTAGTAGCTCTGACCGCACTTCCAGTGATGTGTCGAGGTCGGGATCCGAGCCACCAACCCTTGGATCAGTGGACAGACTACTTCTACTTCTGTACTTATAAAAGCTCTTTTAAAATGCATATCTGTATTGCTCTTCTCATTACGTGTATCCAGTTGCCTCCAAACCTTTCTGCTTCTCCTTTCCATTTTTACCATCACACCTTCTCTCTCTCTCTTTCTCTGTTCTGTTTTCCTCCTCCTCTCCTCTCTCTCTCTCCGTTGTGTCTGATCAATGACTCCTGGCTCGTGACACCGTGCTCCTCTCATGAAATATAACGACTTATTAAAGGAAGGCACATATCTTTGGCCCTGTTTAACTCCGAGAGGCCCCCCATATAAATACATGAGGCTATCTTTAAGGGTCCAGGGGCCAACTGCGCCAGAAGAACACGCGCGTCCACCATTAATAGTTAAAATTCATAAAAGTCAGATGAGGAGGAGAGAGATTTGAAACTGGCCCATCTCTTAACCCTCCTTGACGATTCTTTAAGTTCAGCTCTGGCTATTAGAGGAGAGGAAAAAGTGCCAAGGTCCTCGTCCGTCACCTATTTCCTCGTCTCCTTTCCTTGCTTCCTTAGCTCCTAGTTTCTCAGGAGGAGCAGAAATTAGTGCGCGCTTTGGTGGAATTGGGTCAGCACCTATAGCAGCAATTATCAGGCCAGATGTCTGCACGACAGAAAGAGATTGGAACTAAGAAGGCCGCAGTTTTAGCTTTGAAATGGGTCTGAATTTCTCAAATTATATTATATTTTTCTTTTCTTCAATATTTTTATCTTCTACTTCTGTATTATTTGAGAACATAAATTGCTTAGTCAAAAGTTTGGACACACCATTTCATCTCATTCAGTGTTTTTTTATTTTTTTTTTTATTTCCAATGCATTTATTTCTGAATATTTTTTCGACAAAGCAAAGGAGGCTACTTTGAGAATATATAATATTATTTACTTTTTTCCTTTTCTTACATAATTCTATATCTGTTATTTGATGTCTTATGTATGCACTGTATAAGAAATGTAGGAAGTAGTACAAAATAAGTAAATAAAAACATTGAATGAGATCTGTTCTAACTTTTGACTGGTCCTGTATATTAGGGATGGGCATTCGATTACATTTTCTTAATCAATTGTAACATTTTTATTAAAATTTAAAATTAAAATTATCACCATTATTATTACTATTACTAATCTGCAAAAATAAACTCAACTTTACAACATATAAACCATAACCACTATAGATCCACATCAGCCCGTTTGACATTATAATGTGTTTAATGCAACTTTGGCACATTTGTTTACATTTTACAAAAACAAACCTTAAAACCACATGGTTCATTAGCATAAACTAAAAGCACTGTTCTTAGCTCACTTTATTTATGTTGGTAACAGTAGCCAAAATAAATAAAGTGTTATCTATTTTGGCTCCTGTTGTGATGAAAATACAGAAATGTTTTTGTCCTTTGGATGCATGCACACTCAACTTTATGTTGTAGTAACCGGGATACTGCGTTTACATGCACCATAACAAAACCGGGATAGTCAAAAAACGCAATCATGCCCACTGATGTGCAAGTAAACACACTCATTGAGTGGTACAGTGTCTCCAAGGAAGTGCCAGGGCCCAAATGTGGGACTGTGAGGCAGCAACTCCAGTGTTTGTGTCAGACGAAGCCTCGTCTCCTTACGTTACACTACGCATAACAACCTACACCTGGTTTGTTGATTAAAAATAAATGTCGATCGAAGATCAATTATTGATTAGTTGACTAATCATGCCCATCCATATGTGTATATTATGTAAAATTCTCTTGTTAATCATGTTGTTGTTACTATGTTATAACAACAGTATTTTTCCACTTGATATTTCCACATTTGACATTTTCACTATTTTGATGAACACGAAAAACAAAACAGGGCTTAAAGATCTGTTGGTGAATACATTTTCTACTTTTTAGATAAGATTTTAAAATGCACGACAAAACAAAATGACTCAAACACGCACGAAGCAATCACACAAAACACAACTTTGAGCAAACTAACTATGACTAATGACAAGAAAACTATTATACCATCATGAAAGCTGATTTTGTATAATGTGTCTCCTTTACACTCGTCATCAATAACACAATCCGAACTCTATGCCACATGAAAAGCGCACGCACATGCACACACACACGGGGGCCCCTCCATAGCCTGCAGTGCGTCTCAGTGTAAACCGTGGGAGAGAGCTTGTGGTTGGGTTTGACTCGTGTTGTTCTGGGGTCCTCGCCTCAGACCACAAAAATACAATCAGTGAAGTGTGTATTTCACATTAAACATGCCTCTGTGTGCGAGCAAGGGCCAGGCTTTAGGATCTACCACAGGCTCACTCAAGTCCGCACAACTCAACATTTATCTTTTCACGTATTTGGAGCGCTAAATGTGTTTTATAAACTTGAGAAATAATGAGAAAAAATCATGCCTTTCAAACCAGAATTGTTTTGCTGTATTCAGAGCTGTTCTTGACTATACCGCCACTACAAAAACTGCAAAAACTACAATCTGGCCGAGTTATGAGGACTTGGATTAAGACATTTTTATCATGATTTTAGTAAATGTCACTTTAAAATTAAAATCTTCCAAAGAAACAAAATCCGTGTATCATTAGTTTATTCGTTTTTCAATATAAAACCAAAAATAATAAAATGAAAAATAACAGTTTTCTTCATTATTTGTCTCCAAAACCAAAATGTAAAAACGGAAAAGGATTAGCTTTTTTTTTTTTTTCAGTTTTCAATTTTGTGTTTAAATGAATTATGAAAAAACGGATAATGGCCATTTCCCATTTCCGTGAATTAAACTGTGATGCCGGACTGAACCAGGACTAAAACAGGTCCAGGACAAGACCAGGACCAGATCAGAACTGAGACCAAGACCAGGCCGGGACTGAGGCCGGGACCAGACTGGCACTGAGACCGGGACTGAGGCCGGGGACCAGACCAGCACCAGACCGTTATTGACACTGGAACTGAGACCGGGAATGGACCGAGACCAAACCGGGACCAGACTGAGACCAGACCGTGATTGAGACCGGGACCAGACTAAGACCAGACCGGAACTGAAAACGGTTTAGTCATGGTTTAGTCCCGTTTTAGTCCTGGTTCAGTCCGTAAGTGGCGCAAAAGTCCGGCATCGCAGTTTAAGTCACAGAAACGGGAAATGGCCATTACCCGTTTTTTCCATTATTCATTTAAACACAAAATCGAAAAACTGAAAAAACAAATCCTTATCTGTTTTTTTTTTCATTTTGGTTTTGGAGACAAATAATGAAGAACATTTTTTTCTTTATTTTTGGTTTTATTTTGAAAAACAAATGAATGAATGATACACAGATTGAACAAGACTTTTTGTAATTAAAATATGAAAATCCATCTTGCTACACTTAAATGTGCATTGTATAACTTTGACAATTTTTTTAAACTGCTTTTCTCCATTGCTTTGTTTGGAATGTTTCACAGTATGGCTTTAAACCTTTCTATCTTCACGGAGACCAAACCAGACCAAGTGACAGGTCAGATCTGTGGAGAGGTGACTCTGCTCACAGTCAGAATGTCTGTTTTTCTAGGTATTTTTGAGCTATAAAACCACCTGTAACTGAATAAATGTAAAGTAGAGCTGTTTAATGTCACACTGTGGAACATTCCGAGCAAAGCAAGCAGGTGACGGACCCCCAACCGAAAAATTACAAAGTGCAGTTTTTACGTTTTACTTACAATAACATGAATGAAGTATGAATATTAAAGTTTTCATTTTGTTTTACCTTCCACGTGGCTGTGTTTCTCCTGAAGTAGGCGAACTTTCTCGTGAACCAGTTGTAGATTTCATTCAGGGTCAGCTGTCGGTCCGGAGACTCCAGGATCGCCTAAACAGTGCATGCATGAATTATTTGAGTCATAAAATAATAATGTAAAAAAAATAATAATTTGAATTGATTTCCTGGAGAGCTTACATGGCGTATGAGGGAGGCGTAGGTGAACGGGGGCCTGACATCAGCGTTTTTGTAGAACTCGCAGTTCTGAGCCAGCTCTGGAAAAAATACACAAAGATGAATTCATATTATTGTCATTTGCATGTTCTCCTTGTGGTTATCCTGTTTCTCAGTAAGGAGGTTGTGGGTTAGACTCCCGCTCACTGACTTACGTGAAATTGACTCTTAGAAAGACCTGGAGTTGTGTTTTGTTCCCTTCACACATGTTTGAGTAATCCTTTATTATTAGTCTGTCCACATCTCCAAAGCTCAAAATGCTCTGTTCCACCTTGTGATGTCATGAAGTGATAGTTTTCAAGCTACCTTTTACCTTTAGTTTAGAAGAGATTGGCAATTCCAGGACTGAAATTATCCAAATGATTCTAGTGAAGGTGTATTATTTGCATTTGCATCATCATTGTTAAGATTACTTGAATTAAGAAAGTTTGAATTTGATTTAAGTAAATTTCACTTTACAAGTAAAATGACCTACCATATTTTTCGGACTATAAGGCATACTTAAAATCCTTTAATTCTCTCAAAAATCGACAGTACACTTTATGTATTCATTCTGGTTGTGCTTACTGACCTCGAACTGATTTTATGTGGTACATGACGCTCAAAAATCTGTCAATATGTTCTAGTAAGACTTTGGTAAGTTTGGTAAGTTTCGAAGCCGCACCGCTTGATGGATTGTTGGAGAATTACGGCTACCAAAGTAAGGATCCTCGCAGAGTAAGTCCGACAGAAGCCAACCGCATCAGCGCACAAGGAACGAGCTGGTTTTTTTCAGTGCTTTTAGTTTATGCAAATGAGCCATGTGGTTTTAATTTTCATTTCTGTAAAATGTAAACAAATGTGCGCAAAGCTGCATTAAACATATTATTACTCATTCACATTTATAATACACATTCACCAAGACAGGGAGGCAACACCGGGCGAATTACGCTACGGATCGTGGACGCCTAGACTAAGGATCAGTCTCAAGTGTCGTCCGTTTGTTTCTCTTAATGCACCTTATAATCCGGTGCACCTTAGGTATGAAAATAGACGAGAGAATTCAAGATTATTGATACTGCATCTTACAATCCGGTGCGCCTTATAGACCGAAAAATATGGTACTCTTTTTGTACTTAAAATATGAAAGTAAATCTTGCTACACTTAAGTTAAGAAGAACAACAACTCCTTGCACTAAAAAACAAAATCAAATAAAATATTAAGAGATGTAGATAATTGTACTATCAAGTTGAATCTCCTCAGATTAAGTAAGTCAGCGTTATCCGTACCTGAAGCTATGGGCGTGCAGTACTTGTCTGAGTTGCGTCTGCGTATGGGCCCCACCCCATGAGAGTGGGCGTGCGGGTGCAGTCCCGACGAGCTGATGACGGAGGGCCCCGAGCGCAGGGGGGTGATGGGTGCTGCGGCGGAGGTGGGCGGGTGGGGCAGTCCCTCTGGGTACATGTCGCTGTCGCGCTTCAGGAGGGCGGCGCTCGAGGCTAGGTTCAACTGGAAAACATATAGACACACACAAAGATAGAGTGAATAAAAGAGGGGAGTTTCATTCATACAATTATGACTTAAAGGTGCCCTGTGAAACATTTCTGACCTGCTTGTCTCCATGGACATATTGGCAACCATCTATCTAACTGGAGAACTACTTTTGGGTTTAAGGCTATGCTGAGTACAGATATGTGTGTGTAAACTCTAAAAGAGATTACTGATAAATACAAGAGGCAGAATTCATCAGTTTTTATATGTTTTTAGATGCATTTAAAGCATTTGATGAGGTGAATCACTGGAAACTATTTATGAAGTTGATTCAGAAGGGTGTACCCAAATACATCGTGCGTATTTTGATGTATTGGTATGCACAGCAGACAATGCAGATTAAGTGAGGAAACTGTGTGTCTGCCCAATTTAGGGTCCATTGAGGTCAGACAGGGGGGGATTCTGTCCCCAGTTTTATTTAATTTGTATTTAGATGAATTGTCAACAAAGCTTAAAACATGGAAAACTAATTGTGTGGCTGGAAATCTTGTTGTGAATTATTTAATGTTTGCAGATGACTAGGTTGTTTTTAGTCTGAGCACCTCTGGTCTCCAGCAGCTACTCAACATGTGTTCATCTTACAGTGTGGAGCACGATATAAAGTATAATGCAACCAAGAGTCTGGTCATGATCTGTAGGACCAAAGAAGACGAACACATGAGATATACTGACTTTGCCTGTCGAATATTATGCTGACTGTTACAATAAAAATGAAATATTTTGGGCAGATCATCAGTGCGGACATAGCAGATGATGATGATATGTATAGACAGTGTAGAATGCTCTATGCTCAGACAAATCCTCTTATGTGCTGGTTTGACTCTTGTACAAATGATGTAAAGTTGTTCTTGTTTCAATCATATTTTACACTGTTGTATACAGCCCACCTCTGTCTACAATGACACTTTGCTGTGCTTTTGAGGAGCCACGATGGACGAGTGCGACTGAGATGTTTGTTACTGCACGAGTGAACACCCTGCAAGCTGCACTAAGAACTTGAATGTACAGTTTTATTTGCAGACTGAACAAATCAGACAATGAAATAATAATGTCACTCACAAATATGAGATTCAGTGCAACATGTGGAGACACTGGTATGGTTGTCTTTTAAAAACATAAATATTTATTGTTTTGTAATGTCACTGTCCTTGTCTGTTTTAAAAATGGACCATGAGTCTGGAATAAAGATGATGATGATGATTATGATGATGATGATATCTATTTACATGTATCTATTTACATGTATCTATCTACATGTATCTATCTATCTAGACTGTCCGCCAGCTGCTTTACTATGAACATTTTATTGTATATCATTAAATTTATCGCCGGTGACACCACTAGGCTGAGTTACAGGCCAGATCTGCGGAGAGGTGATCCCGCTCAAACTACGAAAGCATGTTATGGAAGAATTTATTGATCAACAAAAAAATATGCAACTGAATATAGGATAGACACATTTAATGCCACACTATGGAACATGGCAACATTTGAATATGACTTTTAGGAACATATTTTTTACATCCTTGTTCCTGTGTGTTTTAGGTGCACACACTCACGCACGCGCACACATACACACTGCATTTAATATAGCCATCATTTATTCAACACAATCCAAGTAATGTACAGAATTGTGAAGTAAAATTGAATTAGATCGCCATAACGACCCCATACACACCTATGTTGAAAAGGCCATAATTTCCCCTGTGATTGTAGTATGATTATGACTGTGTTATTACTGAACAGCAGTGCGGTAAAGACACCTATGGGAGCCCTGGATGTGTCCCTGTTCTCTCTAGACTCATGTTATTTTCAACAGAATCTACATCCACCATAACACACTGTACATTTATTTACACACACACACAACATGCACACACACACACACACGCGCTGACACAAACACACACCAGCCCCAATTAACCCCAGTTTACACAAACCAACCACAGACAGTCTGTTTATTAGAAGGGGCCCACACTTCTCCACCTCATGTCTCGCTTTCTCCAACTTTCTTCTCTCTCTTTCTCTCTCTCGGCCTGTTTCATACACTTTCATATCTTTCTTTGTGCTCTCTCTTCCCCTCTCTGTTCCTCTTCTCACCCTCTCTCTTATTGTCTTCCCCTCTTTCTCTCAATCTTTGGCCTCAACTTTCTTCTCTGTCTCTCCCACCACAGTCCATATGTCTTCTTTGTTTTTCACTTTTTCTAACTCGTCTTTTTCTCCGTTTTCTCTCTCTTGCTCTTTCTCTCCTCCCCTTCATCTACAGGTCTCGCTGTCCTTTCTCTTGTCTCTCTCTTCATTCTCTCCCTTTCTCCTGTCCACCTCTCTCACCTTTTCTCCCTCTCTCGCACACTTTCTCCTCTCTCCCACCTTCTCTCTCCTGTCTCCCACCCTCTCTCTCAATCACCTACCTTCTCTCTCCATCTCCCAACCTCTCTCCATCTCTCTCTTCCACCCTCCCTCTCTCTCTCTTTCTCCTCTCTCCCATCCTTTCTCCTTCTCTCTGAGTTTCCTACCGTCTCTCTACCTCTCTCTTCCACCCTCTTCCTTTCTCACCCTTTCTCATCTTTCCCACCCTTTCTTCCGCTCTCTCAATCTCCTTCCCCCTCTCTCCCGTCCCCCAAGCTTTCTCCATTTCGCTCTCCCAACCTTTCTCTCCATCTCCCACCCTCTCTCGGTCTCCCACCTTCTTCTCTCTGTCTCCCACCCTCTCTCTGTCTGCCTTCCTCTCTGTCTCCCATCCTCTATCCCTTCTCCCCCCGCTCTCTTCCACCCTTGGCCCCTCTCCTCTCCCTCCTCTTTCTCTCTCTCTCTCTCTCTGCAGGGGTCAGGGGAGTAGAGAGCACACTTCTTCTTCTCGTCTCTCTGCGGTGATGCTGTGGTCTTCATGGAACACTACAGACCAATTAGACAAAGCCACAACCGCACGCACAACCACAGTACACACACAGTACACACACAATACACACACTCTCAAGAATCTACACAGCAGAGCAGAGACTAATTAAAAACAATATGAAGGAGATGTGATGTTCTGTACACCCCTTTGTGCCATTTGAGTATGCTACTACTACTACTTCTACTACTACGAGTACTACTACTGCTGTTCCTGCAAATGAACACTAGTATTTTGGCCAACGTGTTTAGCAGTGTGGTCATCTTTTATATTCATAGTAAAAAATGTAGACAATGTTCTGAGCAGTTGGCGGTTTGGCTTCAGATACTACAAACTATATTGTCAAATTACCATGATTTGTACTTCTACTGCTACTACTACTACTGTCACTACTACTATAATGGTGATATAGTAGTAGTAGTAGTAGTAGTAGTTTGCATATTTTAGCACACAATAAAACAGATGTAAATGTGTTATATAATGCTATGTTCTGGTTCATTTAAAAGTAGTAAAGTAAAAAGTAGTAGTTATAGTAGTGGTAGTAGGATTAAGTATGTTTTAGTAGTAACAGATTACAACTTTTTTAATACTACATTTGAAAATAATTTAATTCTGAATAAAAATGAATTCCACTTTCAACAGGCCATGTAAACACTTAATTCCTAATGAAAATTATTATTCTGAATTAAACTTAATTCAGAAGTAGGTGGATGGTTAATTCTGATTTTAAAGCCAAATTAATTTATTCCTCCATCATGTAAATGTTTAGCCTCATTCATCAGCCGGTTTCACTTTGTGGAAACTGTCTGACCTCACAACGTTAGAATTCGTTCACTCGATGGAAGGCAGGTACTTTTTTCATTTAACCAATCGCTGCTATTTGGTCGTGATGTATGTAATGCGCCGCTAACGGGGCTAAATTGTATATTAAGCTTTTCCCAAATCCCATAGGATGAAGGACAATAACGTCTTTCCCCTTGATAAAATTCACCAAACATTCTCTTTGTTCCGGCTTTAAATCCTCGATCTTGGGAATCGTTGCCAACACAGAATGTATGACTCTTCGTTGATTGGCTGGTGCCTGAATTCACAATTCCAGGATTTTTGTAAACTGTCTAGTGTATTCTGATTCCTGACCTAGTCGCTGGAGAGAAATGAAATTGAGCACTATGTGGAACCAGCCTGGCTAGTAAACATTTATTCTTCTAAAAAAATAATTCTGGTCCTTCAGTTCATGCTCGTTGTGTTGCCCTTCTGACGTGATCTGGATGATCCGGCTCCACCAGTCGTTGGCTTTGGACTTTCATCCACGTCTCTTTGGATTTGTGAGCTGGATGCAGGAGTGGGCTGAGGTAGAGCAGCCGTTGACTGAGTTTGTCTTCCTTCTCCCTTCTCCAACACTCTTCCCTTCTCCTCCTCAGCTGACAGACGAAAAGCGTGATGAGAGAATTCTCCAGCTGCTGCGCAAATATCATCAGAACGACTGCGAAAAAAGTTTGTATCATGTTTGTGTCCGTGGCATGACAACAAACTGAGATGACAAAAAAGCCAGTAGCAGCTGAAGTGTGTGTTTTGTTCCGATCGACGACCCTCAGACGTTTCTTCCTACCGTCAGACGTTGAGCAGAATTAAATAAAGCCGATTTTGTTTTCCATGTAAACCTCAAATTGAAATGTCCATGTAAACTCAAAAGAGACGATTTTAATTCCCAACTACTTAATTCTGAACTATTAATTCAGAATCATGTCAACGTGGTCACTGAGTTCAGCTTGTACCAGTTAAGCAACAGCAGGTATCCATGGATTTTAGAATGATGAAAAATTAGAAACGTTGCTATAGCGATTAACAATTTAAAACAATATATTATATCTTTTGAATGGGGAAAAAGTCCTCAAAATGTCACCTGGAACCAAGAATATAGGCCTATAATTTAACCCCAAAATGCCTGTGCTTTCTCCTCTTTTCTTCTCTGTGTAACATCTGAACAATTGGGAGTAGTAACAATAGAAGTAGTAGTAATAGTAGTCGTAGTACTAGTATTATCCTCAACATTCGGCTTCGTAGGTGGTGACGGTTAAACCCTAATTAAACCCCAAATCGTCCTCCGTCCCCTCTCCTCCCCTCTGCGCGGGCCGGGGAGGAAGGCGGGGCTCTTTTAACAGGTACTTCATTAACACGTCTCCACGGCAACAGTCCGACCTCGTTAATTGAGGCCAAGCTTTGTTTCCATTTTACCGAACCCCGCCCCGTTTCACCCCTCCTCGTCCAATCCCTGACCCCGGAAGCCCGCCACCCGCCGCCGCAGGACACGCCCCCTCCCGATTTCCTATTACGTGTTAATGACGGTGCATCCCCACACACACACGCACACACACACACTCACACACTCGTTTATATCAGCTCAAATTAAGACACTCGGCCTCTAATTGACAATTAATTTCAACATCTTCATATTTTAATAAGGCTCCTCGTCAATCTGAATCATAAAATATTCATTAGATAAGTAATAACAGGAGTCTACACACACACACACACACATGTACACACACACACATGTACACACACGCAGAGATGTGATGGGAGATTTCTGACACCAGATAAAATATGAGAAACCACTTTGGCCCAGATGACAAGGAAATTATCAAATTCAGCTTACAGTGATTTAGGGCAGCAGCAGAATAGTGCTATTGTAGTAGAAGTAGTAGTAGTAGTAGGAGTAGTAGTAGTGGCAGTAGTAGTAGAAGGTAAGGTAGGGTAAATTAAAAAAATAAAAATACATGAATAGATGAAAATGTATTACAAAAAATTTGATAAACATATAATTAAAATACTGCTAATAGTATCACATAGTAATAATTGTAGTAAAAGTACTTAAAATCAGATACTAATCGATCCTAAAAGAAATACTGAAAGTAGATACTCATTTGTGCAGGTATTGATACTGCAAAAACATGACATAAACATGGCAAAATTTGAGCTTTCCTGAAAAAATATGAGACCTCATGCTGAGATATAGAAAGCACTTCCATTGCAGACATGTCAAACTCAGGCCCGGGGATCAAAATTGGCCCATGATATGATTATATTTGGCCCGCGCGATCATATTAATTATGTATTAGAGCTACAGATTGGCTATAGAGACATTATTTATTTAAAATGTTGTTATTATTTTATATTCTGCTTGTTCTGGATCCAGTGTTTAAGCAAAACTATTATTAAACATTTATTTGAATAAGAAAAGGTTTAACATTACATATCTCAAAAGAAGAGAAAACACGTACACGCTGTTGAAATGTCTGAATAAATCTTTAGTTTGGCCCAGTTTTTTATTTTGTCCGTCTGTGAATTTGAGTTTGACACCCTTGCACTATTGTGTAAATGAAAATGACATTCTATTACTAAAAAGGAGTATTTTCATTTACATTCTCGTATTGTTAATGTCAGTATCGAGTCAGTTCCTCAGTATCAAAATCAAGTTTGAGTATCATATTTAGTTCATATTTAGTCCATCTTAGATCTTGAAAATAATAAAACATATTTTGGATGATCATAAACGATAAACTTTGTGCCTAAGATAACATTAATATTAGTAAGTACAACCATAAACCAAAATATGTTTCTGCATGAATGTATATGTGTATAAACATTTATATTGAGTATATGTACTGGATATCTATGATGTATATATGTATATATGTATGTGTGGATATGTTTTTGTATACATGTGGGTATATTTCTGCAAATGACAGGTAAGCACTCAAAGGTGAATAAAAAAAAAAAAAAAAAAAAGTGAACCACGTGATTATGTAAAACAATTGGGATATAAGTATTTTAAACTTTTGAGCACCAGGTCCCAAATATGTTCACGTATATATATCACTATTTTTGTTATTGTTTTTGAATTTTGTTGTACCTAGCTCAAACCAATAAATTTAATGAAAATGAAATGAAAACCAGTAACAAAAGCTGATGTAAATGAACTCATCTGTGATTAGTCTGATAATAAAAGTCCACTGTGTCTGCTGTCTTCAGGTGTAAATATATCACACTAAAAACTCACTACAGAATGTGGCAGGAGGTTGTTTGTAAATAACAACAACACCACAGTCGGTCAATAGAGGGCGTACATGCACAGAAAGTAAACAGGCCAAGAACGCAGCCTCCATATTTCCACTACAGATTTTATACTAATAATTATAGATAGAAATCATGTATAATTATTTAGTTATACCAATTAAGTCACCATTTTTAAACTTTTTTTTTTTTTACACATTTCCCCTATATTTTCTTATTTTACTTTAAAGAATACTTATATTTATAACTCTCACATCAACCTCAAAACTGTGTATATAAAAAGTCCCATGTAATAATTGCATAATAAGTGAAATATACTGTACAAAATAATGAAAAAATATAAGTATAAATGAGACTCACTGGTTGGCTGAAAGGCTTGGGCTCCGAGGGCCTCATGTGCAGGTGAGCCATCATGGCCTGCAGACGCTCGCTCTCTTTGGCCAGCTGTGAACACACACACACACACAAACACACACACACACACACGGTCAGATCACAGAGGAAAAAAAAACAATACACACTTTTACATTTTTTATCCTACCAAACTGAATATCAAGCACAAACACAAATAGGGAAATTGACTAAACTGATCCAGAATATGAGCATCCAGTAAAACAAAAACAACAACACGGAAATTTAACCTTTGCAATGTTTAGAAAATAAAGAAACCGTGAATGCATTTTTTATAATCAAGATAAAAAATTGCGACACCCTCAGACAGAAATTCCAATATTTTTAACTTCCCCTTAACCTGTGAGATTAGAAATAGTAAAAAACAACAAATATATATTAAATCAAAAGGTAACACTTCATAATATCTACACATTTAATAGACTTAATTAATCATGAACAAGACTTATTTAACAAATAGTCTATTCAGAATGATTCAGGTTTTTTTAACTCCTAATCTATAGCCTCTAATTAAGAACATCCTGAATCATTCTTTATAAACTATTTGGATAATAATAATTTAAGTGTAGTTACAAATAAATAAAAATATGAATTGTGCGTTGTCTGAAAAAATCTCTCTTTAAGGTGTAACTTTTTGGTTGGGGTCCGTCAGCTGCTTGTTTCTACGGAGATGTATATTTTCCTTCGCCTGAGTGTGCTCGCATCTCCGCAAACCTGACTCTTACTCAGCCTGGAGGAGGGGCTGCTGCTTGTTGCCATGGAGGTGTTGCTCTTTTGGCTATAATCTTGACCAACGACGTTCTGCTTTTTTAGGGCAGACACTTTGGAACATTCTTCATGGAGATAAATACATTTGATCTCATTCCCAGATTAGAACCAAAAGAGCAACATCTCCATGGCAACAAGCAGCAGGCCCTCCTCCAGGCCGAGTAAGAGTCAGGTTTGTGGAGATGCGAGCAGACACACGCGAGAAAAAATGCACATCTCCGTAGAAACAAGCAGCTGACGGACCCCAACCCGGAAAGTTACACCATAAAGAGAGATTTTTTTCAGACAACGCACAATTCATATTTTTATTTATTTGTAACTACACTTAAATTATCCTTATCCAAATAATAAGCCTAATAAGGGTCAAAGGTCAATTTTCAGCTCAGTATTTTTCATATACAAATATTTCTTCATCATAAAAATTAGTTGTCAAATTTTGGGAGCCTGACTTATGATACTTTTGTCTGGACAAAACAGAAACTTTGAAGTAATTTTTCTCAGTTTCACACTCGTGAGTTAAGAGCTTCCGCCTTTGTAGAACAATGTGGTTTTAACTTTCTAATTCTGTATGTAAAATGTGCAAAAAAACAGGCCCCCACGAGAATGTTAAAGGTGCAATGTGTAACTTTTCTAGTGGAGGGTCAGTTAAATATTTTCCTTCAATATTAGTTTAAGGATAAGGACAACAATGTTTATTTAAAAATGGGAGAGGAAAAAAAAAAAAAATTACTTTTGTTTTTAGCTAGAAATTTTTAGACACACATTTTTTGCCAGATTTGTGTCAGGGTGTGTGGGACTTTTTTTATGTTTTGTTTTGTTTATGTTGTGGGTTCTGCTTTATGTTTTTGTGTTTTGTTTTATGCTGATTATTGTAATTTGTAAAATGTTGATTGTTGTTTTTTTGTGTGTGTTATATTCTGTTTTCCTTAATAAAAAAAAAAGTAATTAAAAATTTAAAAAATTACAGAAACATCTTCATGGAGACCAAACTAGACCAAGTTACTAAGTTAGTGCGCTTGTGTGTGTTTGTGTGTACTTGTATGTGCTTGTGTGTGTTTGTGTGTACTTTGTATGTGCTTGTATGTGCTTGTGTGTACTTTGTGTGTACTTGTATGTGCTTGTATGTGCTTGTGTGTACTTGTATGTGCTTGTATGTGCTTGTGTGTACTTGTATGTGCTGTGTGTACTTTGTGTGTACTTTGTATGTGCTTGTATGTGCTTGTGTGTACTTGTATGTGCTTGTGTGTACTTTGTGTGTACTTGTGTGTGTTTGTGTGCGCTTGTGTGTGCTTGTGTGTACTTTGTGTGTACTTGTATGTGCTTGTATGTGCTTGTGTGTACTTGTATGTGCTTGTGTGTACTTTGTGTGTACTTGTATGTGCTTGTATGTGCTTGTGTGTACTTGTATGTGCTTGTATGTACTTTGTGTGTGCTTGTATGTGCTTGTATGTGCCTGTGTGTGCCTGTGTGTGCTGTATGTGTGCTTGTGTGTGCTTGTGTGTGCTTGTGTGTGCTTGTATGTGCCTGTGTGTGCCTGTGTGTGTTTGTGTGTGTTTGTGTGTGCTTGTATGTGCTTGTGTGTACTTTGTGTGTGCTTGTATGTGCTTGTGTGTACTTTGTGTGTGCTTGTATGTACTTTGTGTGTGCTTGTATGTGCCTGTGTGTGCTTGTGTGTGCTTGTGTGTGCCTGTGTGTGTTTGTGTGTGCCTGTGTGTGCTTGTGTGTGTTTGTGTGTGCCTGTGTGTGCTTGTGTGTGCCTGTGTGTGCTTGTGTGTGCTTGTGTGTGCCTGTGTGTGTTTGTGTGTGCCTGTGTGTGCTTGTGTGTGTTTGTGTGTGCCTGTGTGTGCGTGTGTGCCTGTGTGCGTATGTGTGTGTGCGTCCAGTATCGGGGTTATTGTGTTAGGCTGTTAGCGCGGTGCGTGGATGGTGTTAGAGTAAACAGCGTTTAGCCCAGCGCCTGAAGCCACCCGCAGAGAACAGGAAGTGACAGAGGAGCGGCCGTGTCAGATCCGATCAGGGCGAGCGTCTTTCTCCCCGGACACCGCTCCTGTCTGTCAAAGCGCCAGCGCCCCTGCCACCGCCCCTGCCACATCCGCACGCATAAACAAATCACGGACAAGTCTGCTCAGAGGCCCGGAGAGTTGTTTTGGAAAAGGCATTTATTTGTGTATTTATTTCTCTTTGATTTCTGTGATTTCAGTGGAGTTGAATGATATTGATGGTTTAGTTGATGTTTATTTCTAGTATTTTAGTATTAGTAATTCTAGTTTAGTCCTGGTTTAGTCCAAATCTGGTGTTTTGATCATCGTAGTCCTGGTTCTGCTCTAGTCCAGGTTTAAAACTGACAAATCCTTGATAGTTGATTTGACTGTACTTTAGCAGTAGTAGTAGCAGTAGTAGTAGTAGTAGTAGTAGTAGTAGTAGTAGTCCTGGTTTAGCACATGCATCTGGGGACTATACCTTTCTATGTCTTGGTCAGTAGTGAAACATAACGAAGTAAAAGTAATAACGTACTGTTGTTAAGTATACATTTTGGGTATCTGTACTTTACTTTAATAGATTTTAAAGTGGAAACCTTTTAGTTTTACTTCACTACATCTGAGAGCAGGCATCTATACTTCCTACTCCACTACGTTGTTGAAGAGGACTGAAAAGTAAAAGTATTTTTAAGATTAAGGGGTTTATTTTGAACAAGAATATGAGCAAACAAAAATACACAAATAAAAACTGCTAGAAAACTACACTACATTTGAAGATTTATTATTCAAAATTCATGCAAAGTACCTCTTACTCTTTAAGTACATTTTAAACAGGTACTTTAATACTTCTGCTTGAGTAGATTTTTCATGTGGTACTTTTACTTTTGCTTGAGTATTTTATTTGTCACATATTTGTACTTTTATTTAAGTAACAAAATTGAGCACTTCTTCCACCACTGGTCCTGGTAGTATTTTTCTGAAGTCCTGGTTTAGTCCTGGTTTAGTGCTGGTCTAGTCCTGGTTTAGTCTCAGTCTTCTCTTGGTTTAGTCCTGGTCTAGTCCTGGTCTAGTTCCAGTCTTGTCTTGGTTTAGTCCTGATCTAGTCCCATTCTTGTCTTGGTCTAGTCCTGGTTTAGTCCTGGTTTAGTCCTGGTCCAATCCCAGTCTTGTCTTGGTTTAGTTCTGGTTTAGTCCTGGTCTTGTCTTGGTTTAGTCCTGGTTTAGTCCTAGTCTAGTCCCAGTCTTGTCTTGCTTTAGCCCTGTTTTATACCTAATTTAGTCCTGGTGTAGTCCTGGTCTTATCTTGGTTTAGTCCTGGTTTAGTCCTGGTCCAATCCCAGTCTTGTCTTGGTTTAGTTCTGGTTTAGTCCTGGTCTTGTCTTGGTTTAGTCCTAGTCTAGTCCCAGTCTTGTCTTGCTTTAGCCCTGGTTTAGACCTGATTTAGTCCTGGTGTAGTCCTGGTCTTATCTTGGTTTAGTCTTGCTTTACTGCTGGTTTAGTCCTGGTCTAGACCTGGTCTTATCTTGATTTAGTCCTGGTCTAGTTCTGGTCTTATCTTAGTTTAGTCTTGGTTTAGTGCTGGTTTAGTCCTTATCTAAACATCAGTGAAGTCTTGGTACACTCCTTGTTTAGAAATGGAAGAGACTCTGATAGGGACTGTACAAAAAGCATCCATACAGCCTCTACCCTTCCCTCCCTCCTCCCTCCCTCTTCTGCTTTGACCATATCTCTGTTCTAATTGGGCCTTCTCCGTTAAATTTCAGGCTCCAGTGCTCTCCGTACACTCACGTCCTGCTCCAGACGGACACTCACGCTCTACACGGCCTTTGTTTCTCGCCTTTGTTTGTCACCGAATGAACTGAACCGAGAACGCATTAGAGTTTCACGATTTAAAGCCCCGCCATGTAACTTTTGGTTAGGTTTGGGGGTCCGTCACCTGCTTGTTGCTATGGAGATGTTATTGGTCTGCGTGGAATGTTCGACAGTATGACAATAAACAGATCTGCCTTATATTTATCCAATTACAAGTGGTTTTAGAGCTCAAAAACTCCTAGAAAAACAGGCATTCTGACTGTGAGAGGGGTCGCCCCTCCACTGATCTGACCTGTAACTTGGTCTCGTTTGGTCTCCACGAACACCAGAAAAGTTATACAATACACTTTTAAAGTCACTGAGGTGAGATTGAGAGCCCCACCATGCAACTTTTCAACAAAACTATACAAAAACAAAACATGAAACGTAGAAAAACACGCATCTTTACTGTGAGCGGACTTGCATCTTCACAAACCTGACCTGGCCTGGAGAAAGGTCTGCTGCTTGTTTCCATGGAGATGTTGTTCTTTTGGCTATAATCTTGACCAGAAAGGCATCAAATGTATCTATCACCACGGAGAATGTTCCAACAACTGTTCCAACAATGATTTTAACGTTCTAATTCTGTAAAAACGCGGGGTTCCGGGCCACCTCTGTCATACGCTTTTCGCCGTGGAGATGTTATTGCTCTGTCTGGAATGTTTCACAGTATGGCATCAAACCTTTCTATCTTCATGGAGACCAAACCAGACCAAGTTACAGGTCACATCTGTGGAGAGGCGACCCTGCTCACAGTCAGAATGCTGGTTTTTCGAAGTATTTTTGAGCTATAAAACCACCTGTAATTGAATAAATGTAAAGTAGAGCTGTTTTAATGTCACACTGTGGAACATTCAAGAAAGAGCGGGGACATATCCAAAGAAACAAGCAGGTGACAGACCTCCAACCAAATGCTTTTAGTCCTATCTAATGTAAATATCGTGAGCTGCCACAATACATTGGACACAAGTCTCTTTGCTTAAATGAAGAGTTATGGTGCAACAACAGCTAAAAAAAAGAGAGAGGGAACTACATAGACCATGATCCTTTGCTCCATTTCAGTGCAGACTACAAGAAACAGATACAGCTCCAACAGATACATGACCCTGGTCGTTCCTAAAGCCCGCACAGCTTTGGGCCGCTCTTCATTTCAGTTTTCTGCAGCAAGTGACTGGAACCACCTTCAACACACTTTAAAACTTAATTCGTTTTTACTTTTGTCGATTTTTAAAAACTCCATACAGAGTATTTTACAGGATATTTGCACATGTTTTTAACACTTTTATATCTTTAATCTGCAAATGTTTCACTGTCTTATATCTCTATTCCACTGTTTCATATTATAGTTTATGCGTGAGTGTTTTCTGTTTGTGCTTTTGTTTTATCCTGCCTCTTGGCCAGGTCGTCATTGTAAATGAGAAGGTGTTCTCAACTGACTTACCTGGTAAAATATTGAATAAATAAATAATAAAATAACAGTTCTAAACACTTTTAAATCTTAGCTCTTTGGATTAAGTCTTGTCAAGGCATTTTAAGAGGAAAAAGTAGCATATGAACAGTTCTGTTAACCTCCATAAAATATTGCAATAAATATCGTACCATGAGATGTATGTCGTGAAAACATTGTATCATTGTAACATCACTTGAGATTTGGATATTCTTACATTCCTAATCGTGAGCCTCCCCACCATATCATGAGCTTTCCTACAATATCTCAGTGAATATCGTACCGTGAATTTCATACCATATCGTTAAACTCCTAATTTGTCCCTAAACCAGTATGTGTATAAAGTAATGTACACATGTATAAGTACTAGAGTCCCACCTGTATCTCGAGCTGCTGCACCACCTGCATCTGCACTCGACACTGGGCTGTGCTGCGGTCATCCAGGGCATGCTCGTTGTTCAAGTGTCTGCAACAAGAAACAAGAAAACAGAACATTTATTTTATCTTATTGATTTATAACATTGAATTTAATAATCAACATTTTCATTCAAACTCTTTCAAACTCACTGTCTACAAACATCTGAGTGAATATTTTTCTACAGTGTAAAACAGCTTTCTTTTTGAAATTTCAAATCCCAGACATCACATTACTATTAACGAGTAAATTGCACTGTGATTTGGCAGATTATTACCCCAGATGCCCTGCCTGTTGCGTCCAACCACACTGCGGTAACCGGAGCGGGCCAAGAGAGAGAAGGTTCTTTTTCCAGACAAATGCGTATAACCCACTGGCACTACTCTAAGGCAATTAATGAATGAATTATAGTAGAAAGTAAGAAACAGAGAAAGTGCTGGAGTTAATGAGTTAATTATTATTTTTATTACCCCAAAACAGCATTTAAAGGTATAATTATAACCCAAAAAATGACCCAAAATGGATTCTTGTGAGTTTTAAATCATGTTAAAATGTTGTTGCCTCCTCAAGAAACAGACCTGGAGTTTTGTTTTGTTTCATTCACACATGTTTGAGTAATCCTTTATTATTCTGTCTACATCTCCAAAGCTCAAAATTCTCTGTTCCATCTTGTGATATAGCTTTAGTTCAGTAGAAATCCCCAATTCCAGGGCGGCAATCGAAATCCAAATGATTCTAGATTGAAGGTGTATGGAGTGACATCACAAGGTGGAGCAGTGGGTTTTCAGTTTGAGAGAAGAACACCGGGTTTGAGGAAACTACATTATAACAGAAGTTACATTCAGACTGCAGCCTGAAGTGACCCAAACCCAATTTTTTCGCCCCTATGCTCCTGTATCTGATCTTTTAATGACAGTCTGAACGACACAGATCTGATATTTTCAAATGTGATGCAGACCACTTGGATATGTGCTCCTAAAACCGACCTACACCTCGGGCTCGGAATCCGATCAATGGAGGGAAAGTGAGGTTAGTGAGTTTATTAATATTTGGAGGTATCGCTGTATTCAGGCCAAATTGAAGGGTCTTATCGGAACCGATATCAGAAAATGATTGGCAAACAAATGTCCGAGCGCAGAAGAGGAAGCGGTGCTCAGTTTACCTCCGGAGGTTGTGGAGTTGCTCAGAAAGTGACACCGAGGATGAAGTGGATTTAATGATTTGGAGTGAGATGGAGAGTTTGGTAAACTTGTTCTGTTCTGTTGTTTATGCTATAGTTATCTGAAGAACTGTTCATATGTGACGTTATCATACCAGACGCCCATTCAGCCTGTTCTTTATTCTATAGTTTTTTCTATAACTTGCCTTTCAAGATGAAATGTTGGTTCCTGGTCTCTGATTTCATAAAATCATCCCCCCAAAATGTGACTTATAGTTCGGTGTGACTTATATATGTTTTTTTCTTCTTCATAACACATTTTTAAGCCATGCAGTCTGAACTAGGGATGAGCATTCGATGAAATTTTCTTAATCGATCGTCGGAAGAATTAACGATTGATTATCGATTAATCATTCACGTTTTATATTAAAATGATCATCATTATTATTACTATCTGCACTACTAAATCTGCATAAATAAATTCAGCTTTACGACATATAAACCGTAACGACTCTAGAGCCACATCAATCCGTTTGACATTATAATGTGTTTAATTCTCACAGAAACAAAACTTAAAACCGCATCGCTAATTTGCATAAACTCAGCGAAGATAAAACTACAGCTCTTGTGTCGCTGATGTGGTTCAACTTCTGTCGGATTAAAAGACATGATTCAGGTGAATACAGGTTAGTGTGACCGTATTTGCGTTTGTCAAAACCAGGACACCGTACGGGGGGAGGGAGGTGGGGCCTCGTCATCGACATTGAGCGACTCTCACCTGGGAAAACCTTTTTCCACTGGACAACAAAACATATGTGCTGCTTTGTACACTGTGCACATGGACTCCCACTTGTCCCAAACACAAAGGAAAGCGTTGAATTTCAGTGTACAGGTCATCGTTAAATACGCATTTGCACTTCGGTAAGTTGCAGACTGACCGACTGTTTGTGTCTCGCTCCTTCTGAGTGCAGAGCTACATGTACGGACCCTTGTTTGGTCACACTACGCAACTTACATTCAGTTTGTCGATTAAAATTTACGTACTCGATGAAATTCTTAATGATCAATTAATCGATTAATCGATTAATCATGCCCATCCCTAGTCTGAACATAACCATAGATACACCTTTTAAATCATGGATCATTATAATTCCTTCAAACTGTCCTCACACTGTCCTTTACTTTCCCGGGACTTTCCTTCGCCCTCTTCTCTTCACTATTTACTCTTCATATTCTTTGGCTCTAACTCGTGAACTTGCGAGATGTTCATTTGTGTGATTAGTCTCAGCTCATCGGTCTAAACCCACTCACATGGCCGCTCTCTTTCACTCCGTGCACTTTGAAATCTCGTCATTACAAAAATAAATCTTTTCTTTGTTTTGTCTGAGAGTCTGACCCTGCAGCTGTGTTGTGTGTGTGTGTGAAGTTATAAGCAGCTCAGGCTCTTAAGGCGGCACCTGGAGTGAGATCATTGTTGTTATCGTTGAAGATATCTGCAGGCTGGAGTTTTAAGGCGGTATGGCTGTTTGGATGGTGTGTGAGAGGGAGAGCGAGGGGAAGTGATGTGTGTTTCCTTAAATGTGGGAGGGACGGGACCTTTTGAACTAAACGACTGCTCCGCTCCCTTTGTGTGGCTCCGCTCTCTCTTTCTCGCTCCCATTCTCTCTTTTCTTGTTCTCTCTCTATAACTTCTTTACTTTTTATCTCTTCTCTCTCTTTCCCTTCTCCCCTTTCTCTTTTCTCACCCCCTATCCCTTCTTTATCTCTAGAGGAGTGGGACAGAAGAGAGAGAGAGAGCAGGAGAGGGTAAAAGAGAGAGGAGAGGAACGGAAGAGAAACAGAGCTGGAGGGGATAAGAGAGAGAAAGAGAGAGAGATAGAGGAGGAAGAGAGGAGAAGGGCATATAGAGGAGTGGGATGGAAGAGAGAGAGAGGGAGGTGAGAGAGAGAAAGAGGAGATGGAAAGAGAGGGGAGGGAGAGAGATGGAGGAGGAAAAGAGAGAGAGGAGAGGAATGGAAGAGAAAGAGAGCTGGAGGGGGTAAGAGAGAGAAGAGGGGGCAGTACAGAGGGAGGTGAGAGAGAGAAAGAGAGAGAGAGAGAGGAGAGGGACATATAGAGAAGTGGGATGGAAGAGAGAGAAGACGGGGCAGAAGAGAGGAAGGTGAGAGAGAGGAAGAGAGATGGAGGAGGAAGAGAGAGAGAGAGAAGAAGGACATATCGAGGAGTGGGATGGAAGAGAGAAAGAGAGAGAGAGGGAAGGGGCAGGAGAGAGGGAGGTGAGAGAGAGAAAGAGGAGATGGAAAAAGAGGGGAGGGAGAGAGATGAAGGAGGAAAAGAGAGGAGGGGGACGGAAGAGAGAGAGAGAGTGGGAGGGGGTAAGAGAGAAAAAGTGGAAATGGACATAGAGAGGAGGAGGAGGGCAAGAGAGAGGGAGGTGAGAGAGAAAAAGAGACCCTCACTGTCTCTCTGCCAGTCTCAAAATCTACCTTATCTCTCTCTCCGTCCCTCTCTCTCTCTTCCTGTTTTCAACTTTCTCTCTCCTTTTCTCTCCCCTCTTCTTTATCTTTCTTTCTCCTCCTCACTCTTATTTCAACTATCCATTTGACTCTTCCTCTCTGTTCTCTTGTTCTTTCTATATACAACTTCTTTATATCAAACTCTTCTCTCTCTCCCTCTTTCCTTTCTTCTTTTTTGCCTCATCCCTTCTTTATCTTTCTATTGCATCGTCCCTCCTATCTCAACTCTCCTTTTCTCTCTCTTTCCTTTCTACTTTCTCTCTACATCCCTTCTTTATCTTATCTCAACTATCCTTCTCTCTCTCTCTTCCCCCTTCTCTTGTTCTCCCCTCTCTATATTTCTTCTTTATAATAATTTCTCTTTCCTTTCTTCTTCCTTCACTTTTTTTAATCTTTCTCTCTCATCCACTCTCCTATCTCAGCTTTTCTTTAGTGTCTGTCTCTTTTTCTCTATTCTCTTGATCTCTCTCTCTCTATAACTTCTTAATATCAATCTCATTTCTCTCTCCCTCTCTTCTTTCTCTCCCCTATCCCTTCTTTATCTTTCTCTCTCATCTTCACTTCTGTTTTTGTCTCTCTCGCCCTCTCTCTCTGTTCTCAAACTCTACATTCTCTCTTCCTCTCTTCTCTATCTCTCTTCCTCCCTCCATCTTGCTCTGGTTCTTTCTTTCTCCCAACTCCCCCTCTCCTTCTTTCTCTCGCTCACCTCCCTCTCTCCTGCCCCCTCTTCTCTCTCTCTCTCTTCCATCTCCCCCTCTCTCTCTCTCTTCCAACCCACTCCTCTATATGTCCTTCTCCTCTCTCTCTTCCTCCTCCCTCCATCTCTTTTTCTCCTCCATCTATCTCCCTCCCCTCTCTCTCTCTCTCTCTCTCCCTCCTCCCTCTCTCTTTCTCTCTCACCTCCCTCTCTCCTGCCCCCTCTTTTCTTCCTCCATCCATCTCCCTCTCCTCTCTCTCCATCTCAACTCTCTCCCTCTCCTACCCCCTCTTCTGTCTCTTACCCCCTCCCGCTCTCTTTCTCTCTCTTCTGTTCTTCTCCTCTCTTTTCCTCCTTCATCTCTCTCCAGCTCTTTCTTTCTCCATCCCCCCTTTCTCTCTCTCACCCCTCCCTCCTCTCTCTCTCTCTCTCTCTTGCCCTGCGGCGATATGAAACCCCACACCAAACAACTGCTTTCCTCCCTAACTTTTTCCCAGCCGCCCTTCCTCCCTCCCTCCCTCCCTCCCTCCTCCTCCTCCCCCTCTCCTCTCCTCCTCCTCCTCCTCCCTCTCTCCGTGCAGCTTTGATGTGCGTGTCCAATCTCACTGTACACAAGTGTTAGTGCGTTTCATCACCGCGGCCTTATTAATAGGGCCACTGTTTAAAGCGCCGGGCTCCGAGCGCAGGGGCTTTGCTTTGCTGGTCATTAGACTGTTGTGAGGGTCTACGGCTCTGGACCGGGGGAGAGTCGACAAGACGAAGAGGAGGAGGAGGGAGGAGGGAGGAGGGAGGAGGGAGGAGGTATGTCAAGGCCGAGGCATCACAAGTGTACAACGGATAAGAGGAAAAATAATATCTCATGCGTTTCTCTGGGTGGAGCGTTTTGTACAGTGAGTCCTTACAGTAGTGCAGTGGTATGATAATAATTAAAGTCATACTATGTAACTTTTTGGTGAGGGAGTCCACCACCTGCTTATCTCCATGTCCATAGATGTTATTGCTTTACCTATGTTCCACATTATGGCATTATTGTTAACCAACCAATGTTTACCGTATTTTTTGGACTATAGGGCGCACTTAAAATCCTTTCATTTTCTCAAAAAATCGACAGTGCGCCTTATGTATTAATTCTGGTTGTGCTTACTGACCTCGAGCCAATTTTATGTGGTACACGGCGCTCAAAAATCTGTCAAAATGTTTTAGTGTGACTTTGGTAAACTACGAAGCCACACCGGTTGATGGATTGTTGGAGCATTAAGGCTATCGTAGTCAGGAGTCCGACAGAAGCTGAACCACATCAGCGCACAAGGAGCGAGCTGTTTTTTTTTTCAGCGCTTATAGTTTATGCAAATTAGCCATGTGGTTTTAAGTTTCATTTTTGTAAAATGTAAACAAATGTGCGCAAAACTTCAACGATCCACCCACATTCACAATACGCATTCACCAAGACAGGGAGGCAACGTCGGGCAAATTATGCCACGATCTGCCAGTTCTTTATGGACGCCTGGGCTAAGGATCAGTCTCAAGTGTTGTCCATTTGTTTCGCTTAATGCACTTTATAATCCGGTGTGTCTTATGTATGAAAATAGATGAGAGAATTATTGACATCACGCCTTACAATCCGGTGTGCCTTATAGTCTAAAAAATACGATACTCAGTTGATGTTGATGTTTTTAGTATTAATTATTGGGCTATTGAGCAAATTACTTCGATTAATTTGGGTTCATAATAATCAAGAGTTTGAAAAATTGCTAAATCGAGAAATCGAGGATTATTATAAAACAAATTTGTTCCTGGTTTTCTATATATCTGCAAATGCAACTAAAAGCATTTCACAATTTCTTAAATAATAGGATTTGAGTAGAATGAAATCATAATTGTCCAATGTCCATCCATCCATCCATTTCCTTCAGCTTATCCGGGGCCGGTTCGTGGGGGCAGCAGTCTAAGCACGGACTCCCAGACTTCCTTCACCCCAGACACTTCCTCCAGCCCTGTCTGTTGTTGTCCAATGTGTGCAAAAAAATCGAGATTGTGTTTTTTGGCCATATCTCCAGTCCTGAATGAATAAATGAGCATGTATGTTCACGTATCCTGCTCTTTTCATTGGAGAAAGATGAATTTAATGCCGTATTGCGGAACATTCCAGGCAAAACAATGACGTGCATAGACCAGACAAGTCCTTCTGAAACACGGCTTGATGTTGTCATGGAGACAGTGGGTGTACTCTTGAGTAAATAAGTTAAACATGATTAAAACCCCAAAACTAGCCTGGAAATACTGCAGTAACGTCAAAAACTACTGCAAGTACACATGGTGGCATCAGATGTGGTAGCAAAATCAAAACATTTTAACGGATAAAGTAAATAAATCTCATTCACTATAAGTTTTCAAATGAGATAGCAAAGTTAAACCCAAATACTAAAGATTAGAATGTGAATAGACAGTGACAGAAATAAGGTCCCATAACATCTCCATAGAAGTACTTCATGTGTGACATACTAGTACACGCACCTCAGAGTAAACATGATGTAACCCAACGCAATGAAAGAGCTTTTGTTTCTTCAGTTAGTTTGAAAGAAAAGCCATGTCAGCGAAGGATACACAGGAGCATGCTAAGAGATTCTGAAGCTTTGAGAAACGTCTAAAATAATGCAGTGTTCTGAGGGACCTACTGCGCTTTTAAACAAATACGAAATGTTAAAAAGGCCCGAGGTGAAAAACAGCCCCCCGCAGAGACAGCGGCATCAATGACAAACATCACAAGGCAGATTACGCATGTCAGCTCAACAAGTTTACAATGTTATGTGTAATTTGAGTTTCTGAAAGAGTTTTTGACTATAGTTTCTTGACGACAAAGGTCAAAGAGTCACAAAAGTAAATTTTCTAAGAATCGCAATGTTACTGATGCAAAAAGTACAAATTTAGGTATGATTTTTTGTTTTTACTTTCTTGCTCTACTCTTGCTCTAGTTCTATTATTTTTAGAGATGTAACAATAACCGAAATATTGTGGTATTGTATTGTCAAAAGTCTCACAATAATACCGTGGGCTGTCAAAAAATATATCGAATTTCAAGTTCTTTTGCTTAAATGGATGGTTTTATAGTAGCAACAGCTTATAAACATCAGGAACTACATATCCCATGATTCATTTCAGCGCAGACAACATGAAGTTATATGTTTTGTACTTGAATTCTTGGAATAGATGCATCAAGAATTTTGGAATTCCGGTCATTGCGCAATGCATACTAGGAAGGATTTTCTGAAAAAGTGAGCATCAAACCGCCATGTTTGATTTCCCAATGGGATGCGTCTATTGACAAAGCTGATCTTTTCTAGTCTTTTGAACCATATCCCTTTTGTTTCTGGTTCTGATATTGTCATATTTTAGTTTTGGAATATGGACATCGTAATTGTGTGTTTGTTGGATGTCCTAACACTGGAAAATGGCTCGAGAAATTAGTTTGCGAACTCCATAAATGCAAAAGGGAATCAGATGTGTGTGACTGCAAACCTCAGTTCAAACTGTTTCCCTTCCCAACAGAACTGAAAAATAGTGAAAGGCAAAGGTGATGGGGAGTATTGATATACAGGAAGGATAAAAAAGGAAACCTTTGACTGCCTAAGAAATTATTCTGAGTTTGCAGCGAACATTTTGTATGTGGAGTGCCAACAAAGCAAAATCCTGATCCCTCGCTCAACCTTGGTTACAAATTTAAAACCCCAAAGCGAAAGTCATCAGCTGTTTGCCAAGAAACAACTTCCACTGCAAAGTGACCAAGAAGTGATGTTGCTGTAAAACCACAAGAACAAGAAAGTGCAAGCTCAGCCTGTTTGTATTCTGTACCTCTCGCTTAACAAACAGGATTTTGCTTTTATGGCGCTCCACATACAAAATGTTCACTGCAAACTCGGGATGATTTAGGCAGTCAAAGGTTTCTTTTTTTCCCTGTGTATCAATACTGCCCATCACCTTTGCCTTTCACTGTTTTTCAATTCCATTGGGAAGGGAAACAGTTTGAACAGAGGTTTGCAGTCACACAGATCTGATTCCCTTTTGCATTTATGGAGTTCGCAAAAAAATTTCTCGAGTCATTTTCCGGTGTTAAGACATCCGGCAACCACACAATTACAATGTCCGAATCCCAAAACTAAAATATGACAATATCAGAACCAAAATCTTGTCAGAGTATTTTAAAAGCAAAAAAGTGTCCTAAAAAAAATATTGCAATAAATATCAAACCGTAAGATGCATATCGTGATAATATCGTAGAGATTTGGATATTGTAACCTAATTATCCTAATTATTTTATCTTAAAACATTGGAACCGGTGACCCTTCTGTTACAAGGTGAGTGCTCAACCCGCTGTACAACTGCCGCCCCATTAACCAACTAGGTGCAATTTTATAACAAAGTGGGTCAAATAACCTTTTGACCTACTTTTCTTACCTTAAAATGTAAAGAGAACACTTAAAAACTGATGGTTTGGCCAATTAAAGAAAAAGTTACATTCACTTAGTCGTATCAGTAAACCTCACACATTATTTTTATTTTATTTTTATTTGTTTGAGAAAGACTTACTTGATGAACTGTCCCATGTCCTCACACAGAGCCTCACACCCGGGCCACTTACACTCCCCGTGTCCATACAGAGGGTGGGAGCCGGAGTGCTCTTCATGACTGCAACGCAAAAAAAAAAACAATAATTAATTATTCAATAACAATTCATCTTGTATTTCACATATTTTATCTGAAACTCCCTACTGCTCCATATCAGAAACTCAAATGAAGAGTTATGGTGCAGTAATAGCTAAAAAAAATCACAGAGGGAACAACATAGACCATGATCCTTTGCTCCATTTCAGTGCAGACTACAAGAAGAAATAACACTTCTAAGCACTTTTAAGTCTTAGTTCTTTGGATTAAATCTTGTCAAGGCATTTTAAGAGGAAAAAGTAGCGTATTAGCCTCCACAAAATATTGCAATAAATATCGTGAGATGTATATCTTGAAAATATCGCACAGAGAGATTTGAGGACCAGATTTCAAGTCTGAAATTAGTCACTATTTTTAGGACTTGAGAGTTGACTTGATAAAATGGACTAAGACTTGGGACTCGATTTGGATTTGAGGCCTGTGACTTGAGAAAACTTGAGAAGCACTTTTAAATCTGAATTCTTCCTTCACACTAACATCTTGTCAAGACATTTAAAAAGGAAAAAATAACAAAATTAATTTCTACAACTCTTATATAAATACTCATATATAAATATACTATGATTTTTTAAAAGTACAATTTACTTTAAAATTCATATAAATAAAAAAAAATAAAAAATCAAAGCTATATTTGGTACTTTGGTTTAAAGATTTGAAATGACTTGAAGCTCAAAGCAGACGACTTGGACTTGACTTGGACTTATGGGCCAGTGACTCGAGACTCAACTCGCCTGTATTTGACTTGGGACTTGACTTGGACTTGAGGTCAAAGACTTGAGACTTACTTGGTCCCACTTCTGCCATAGAGTACAGGGTGTCCCAAAAAAATTGACATCATTTCGCAGGCCAATAATTTTGCAATTCTTGTTGAATAACTTCAAACTTCACAGAGTGTATAGAAACAGATGAAGACTTTATATTTAATACATTTTTATTTTATTATTATTAATATTTAATTTAAGTTTTCAGGTTGAGCCGTTCACTCCCAAAGAGAAGTCATTTTGCATCTGGAATCTACTCGCACACACTCACCCAAGACTGTGCAGCTTTCAATGCAAAATTTGGAAAAAACTTCACTAACTGGCAAACAAATTTGGACTTGGTACCGAATATTTTAAGAGGAAGGCTGTTTATGCAGAGCTAAAGGATCTGGTACACCATCATCAACATCATCATCGAGTTAGACTGAGTAGTTTCCAAGATAATTGCTTTTAAAATGATATCAAATTTTTTGGGACACCCTGTATTTTCCGGAGTCACTGGTGATGTTATTGGTTTGCCTGAAATGTTCCACAGTATAGCATTAAACTTATCTCTCTTTTATTTATAATTACACATGATTTTATGACTAAAAAACACGCACTGTTACTGTGAACCGGCTCACCTCCACAGACACGACTTACACCTTTAAAGGTTTAATGCCACACTGTGAAACATTCCAGGCAAAGAAAAGAAAGAAAAGCAAGTTGGCGAATCTTCCACCAGAAAAGTTACATAGTGCAGCTTTATAAACCTTTATCATCAACTAGTACAACTTCGCGAATAACGTCAAATAGAACTAAATGTGTGAAATTTGAGCGAAAAAGGATCTGTTGATTTGGTATTTGAGAGAAAAAAAAATCTTGTGAAGTCATCCATCATTTAATCAGATAATGGTAGAGCAGAGCGCACAGATAGATACATAGAGGAGTAAGAGCAGCTGCAGCATCTGTGTTTAGTTAGCGGCGGTTTTACTCTGAAAAGTGAAGTGAGAGAAAGAGAAAGAGAGGAGGAGGTCAGTTCGACGAGCCAGACTGCGAGGAGAGTTAATGTGATGTGTTTTTTTGCTTACTGGCTGTGGGAGAGTGCTAGGGCGTGCAGGGTTCACATTTGTACACACACACGTCGAAATTGGGACTAAACGTAGAGCTAAATCAGGACTGGACCGGGACTAAACCAGGACTAGAACAGAAATGAACCGAGTCTAGATTCGCATACAGTCTGCTGGTCAAATAAGCAGCTAAAACAAGGCTAAAAACAGTAGCAGTTGGCTTCAAAGTTGAGTTAAAACATTGGAGAGCACTTCCTGTTTACCTCCCAATGACATCACAAGGTTGAACAGAGCATTTTGACTGAACAACTTCAAGTATGTTTGTTTATTTTTTGTATTTTTTAAATGAGGAAACAGCAAAAAGATTGTAAAGGTGCACTATGTAAATTTTCTTCTTTAGGGTATGCCATCTGTTTGTCTCCAAGGCCAAGTTACAGGTCAGATCTGCGGAGAGGTTCATCTCGTTAATGAAGGAATGCGATTGGAGATTTTAAGTCTCATAAGATTCTCCAAAAATCCTGTAGTGCGTGGAGATCTTAACACATGAGTCATTATAGTCAAATTTTCTCTGTGTTTTCTGTATTTTACCAAAACAAATGACAATTCATGCCTTGCTTTACTGTTCGCAGGGACCATATTGGTCAAAAATAGGGACACCAGGGATATTTCTTTGGATAAATCTGGTACAAATCAATGGTTTTGAATAAATCCCCCCACTCGTTAAAGAAGGAATGCATGTTATTCAAGATACGTTTGATAATGAAGACACTTGTAATAGAATAAATGCAAGATAGACACGTTTAAAGGTCTTATATTACACAAAATTGACTCTTGTGAGCTTTAAGTTGAGTTATAATGTTGTTATCTCCTCAAAAACAGACCTGGAGTTGTGTTTTGTTTCATTCACATGTTTGAGTAACCCTTTATTATTAGTCTCTACACCTTCAAAGTTCAAAGTTCAGTTCTTGTGATGTCACGAAGTGGTAGTTTTTAAGTTAAGCTACCTTTTACCTTTTGTTCAGTAGAGATTGGTAAATATGTGGCTTTAAAAACCCAGTGGAGCTCTTCCAGATGATGTCACAAATTGGAACAAGTGTTTTCCGTTCGAGAGGAGAGCTCAGTCTAAATATGCACGGTTTGTCTGTTAAACATGTGTGAATGAAACAAAACACAACTCCAGATCTGTTTGTGATGAGGAAATGACATTAGAACACAGATCAAAAAATAGTGTCATATGGGGATTTTAATGCCGTACTGCAGAACATTCTAGGTAACACAATATCAGTTCCATGAAAACAAACTGACTGAGCTTCAATTCTGAATAAAAATCATTCTGAATAAAAATTAATTCTGCTTTAGAAAGATCAACACCTAATTCCTAGTGAAAATGATTATACTACTACCACTACTACTACGAGTACTACTACTACTGTTCCTGCAAATGAACACTAGTATTTTGGCCAACGTGTTTAGCAGTGTGGTCATCTTTTATATGCATAGTAAAAAATGTAGACAACGTTCTGAGCAGTTGGCGGTTTGGCCTCAGATACTACAAACTATATTGTCAAATTACCATGATTTGTACTTCTACTGCTACTACTACTACTGTCACTACTACTATAATGGTGATATAGTAGTAGTTGTAGTTTTTTGCATATTTTAGCACACAAGAAAACAGATGTAAATGACTTATATATAGCGCTGTTCTGGTTCGTTTTAAAGCAGAAAGTAGTAGTTATAGTAGTGGTAGTAGGATGAAGTATGTTTTAATAGTAACAGATACAACTTTTAGAATTACAACCACATCTTGCTGCGTTTACATGAAAGCTTTAATTCTGAATGAAAATAATTTAATTCTGAATAAAAATGAATTCTGCTTTAAAAAGACCATCTAAACACCTAATGAAAATGATTATTTGGAATTAAACTTAATTCCGATGTAAGTGGGTGGTTTATTCCGATTTTTAAAGCCAAATTAGTTTATACCTCGATCATGTAAATGTTTATTCTTCTTATTCCGGTGGTTCAGCGCATGCTCGTGGAGTCACCATTCTGACACGATCTGGACGACCCGGTGCTACCAGTCCTGGCTTCGGACTTTCATCCACTGCTTTTTGGATTTGCAAGCAGGATGCAGGAGTGGGCTGAGGTAGGGCAGCTGCTGACTTAGGCCCCATCCACACTAGTATGTATTCAAGTCGTTTTTGTTATGGATGCAGTGTTTGTCCACACTAATCCGATGGAAAATGGCTTCAGAGGCGGAACGATCTGGTGCCACCAGCTCCGATGAATTCATCTGAGTACAGATCTGATCCGGCACTGTGTGGACACCTGAAAATGTTGATACGCTGATGTAGGAGCTCTAGTTGCATCCTTATTGGACCACGTCACTGTGATTTGCTCCTTCCTGATTTACTGGGTTCGTGACATCAATCATGTGATGCTATTGCGGAAAACAGTTTAAACAAACGGGAAACTGCGCAGATAGAACTACTTGCAAAGAACAGACTCACCATTAGCAGAACACCCCTTTGTCACAGAAATAACACATATATTCCATTGAGTCATGCCCTTTTGAAGTCCAACAGAAGCTGAAATGCATCAGGGCACAAAGGAGCGAGCTGTTTTTTGAGTACTTGGTTTATGCAAATTAGCCATGTGGTTTTAAGTTTCGTTTTTGTAAAACGTTAAACAAATGTGCGCAAAGCTGTGTGGATAGGAAAGATTTGTGGACACTGAAACTACGTGTCTGGACGGAAATCATTCCCAATACGCTGATACAATGATTGGTTTCAGTGTAAACTAACGTTAGTTTGTCTTTTTGCCAGTTTGAATTCTCAAGCTGCTGTTTAATTATCATCAGAACAACTGTGAGAAAAGTTTGTCTGACAAAAGATGACCAAAAAAAAAAAAAAAAAAAGGTAGCAGCTGAAGTGTGTGTTTTATTTCGGTTGACATAAATATGTTTTTGACCTCGTCCAATCAGAAGTCTTTCCCACCCCCAGACGTTGAGCGGAATTAAATAATGATGATTTAACGTATTTTCCAAGTAAACCCAAATCCGGAAACAAAGGAGAATATTTTAATTCCGAACTATTTAATTCAGAACAATTCATTCGGAATTAAAAAACATCATGTAAACGTGGCTATTGTCCGCCTTTAAAAAGCTCGAAAAGAAGTGGGATTAGCAGAAGAGAACAGAACCTTTAAGTGTTTGTGAGTGGGTTTCGGTAGCAGCTGTCACGGCCGCCGTCTGCTGCCTCAATATATTTACATAACTGTATTTTCCAGCTTTTATTTCAGCGTGTGCGTATGAGTGATCCGAGATGTGGATTCCCCCCAAATCAACATCAGAAGGCCCATGGTAACAGGAACCATTTGTGCGGCAGATGGGAGCTGTTCTGCGGCCGCTCTCGGATGCCTGTGCCTGGGTCGCGGCGGGAGCGAGGGGAGGGGGGTCTGGAGGTCCGGGGCCGGGGGTCTGGTTTTGGAGTGCGCGAAGCCGAAGCGCAGACAGTTGACATGACAAAGCGCTGGCAACCACACAGACTACACATCAGCCACGCATTAGCTTAGCAGGCTAGCTCCCGAATGCTAACCGCTACATCATGGGCTTCTTGAGAGCGGAGCATGACAGATGTTCTCAGCAAAGAGCACTGACTGTCTGGATGTGTTTTGGGGGAGCTCAGAAGAGAGGTCAGATGGTTAAGTGAGTCTATTTTTAAATATTGGATTGGCTCTTTCCATGAGCATTCACAAGAAACACTGCACAACTATGAGTTATTATTCAGCGAGCTTTAACTTGATGTCTTGTCAAAAAGTTTAAGTTTACAGACAGCTCATGGCTTCAAGACAGACAGAAAGTAGCAGTAGTCTATGCAGTAGGAACTTCAACAGAAGTTTGGGATCCAGAGAAAGAATAGAGTGACCAAATTTTCCAAATCAAAAACTGGGACGCCTCCGATTTAGAGTGGTTGGTAATAGAGGTCGAGACAGAATTTTCAGTCCAGCTCCCGCAAAGAATTGTAATTTTCAGTCCAGCTCCCACTCGTATCTGCGATATTTTGTCCCGCAAGATGGGGATGTTCGCTTTCTTAAACTGTATCAAACACCGAGAAGCAGAAAAGAATTGCCTAAAATGTGCACGAGATTAGACGACGTCTGCAAGTTTAGACTGCTTAAAATGTTTTTATTAATGCCAAATAAAATATCCAGCACAGATGATGTATGACAGGCATACATTAATCATTTGCATATTTTACTTTACACTCAAATTTAGTTTGTGGGACTGCAGTTTATCATCCCACCCGTCCACTCCTATGTTGTGCAGTCCAGCTCCTGCCCGGGCCCACAACGTGCTTTCAAAATATGTGCCGCGCCGCACTGTTTTGCGTCGGGTCCCGCAACTTACAGAGGCTCTCGTTGGTAATAATAAAATTGTGAAACGAGTGTGTTTTTAAGGATAATTCTTCTGCACTTGGCCCATTCATCACTTATTCACAACTGAAGGCCGCCACGCACTCCAGGACAATTTGGCAGCACGGTGGCTGAGCGGCTAGCGCTCATGCCTCACAGCAAGAAGGTTCCGGGTTTGATCCCCGGGTCCCCTGGCCTTTCTGTGTGTAGTTGGCATGTTTGATAGCTAAGGTCAAAAGGTTAAAATCAATGAACCTGCCCAGGGACTACAGGTGGAAATTAGCACTGGTGCTACAACTTGGTACAATGTATCTCTCCTGTTAAGGTTAATGCAAAAATTGTGCGCTGTCCCTGCCTCAAATAAATAAATACATCAATTTGCCAGATTTTGGCTGCGATTTCTTCTCCCGAGTTCGGGGAGGCGTGAGCCGACGCGCTCACAACTTTATACGCTGTGGTCTGCAGTCATATCCTGCTGCAGTCTTTGCGATCAGAGATTTTAAATCTCATAAGATTCTCCTCGTGTCTGTGGTGTACGCTTTTTGTCGCAAGTTTAAAAATCGATAAAACACAGAAAAATCTTGTAGTGCATGGCAACCTTAACATGTGAGTCAGTATAGTCCCATTTTCTCTGTGTTTTGGTCATTTTATGCCTCTCTTTTCCGTTGGCAGTGGTCAAATTGGTTAAAAATTGGGACACCAGGGATATTTTTTTGATAAAACTGGTACAAATAAATGGTTTTGGATAAATCCACTGGGACAAGGGACACAGGGCTCAAAACTGAGACTGTATAAATAAATAGGGACGTGTGGTCACCCTTGGAAAATGCCTATGGTGCAGTTCCGGGCCCCTAATTATTGCAACGTTATGTATACAATGACTACTGTTTTAAACCATAGCAAATGCAGGAGCAGTAGTAGTTGTTGCGTGATCAGATTTAAACCGTGTCAGCACAAAGCTACATGTAGCACAGTAGGTTAGCGTCCAGAGCCTATATGTATAACGCGTTACTCACTGGCTGCTGGGGGGCTGGCTGCCTTTGCTGTACAGGCTGATCTGGTCGTCTGCGCTGTCGGCTTTAGTGAAGGACGAGATCCACTCAAACAGTCGGGCTCTGGAACAAACACAGGAAATCATTTCACTCCCAAAAACAACACTGGACTAGAGTTATTGTAATGGGCGTGACATCTGATTTATAACGACAAAACATGAAAATAATGAACAAAACTGAGGTTCATTACTTCACATTTGCACTGTTTTTCCTTACGACCTTTTGTATACAATTGTGATATACTGTATTTGTATTACTATATTTATTTATTTTTTTACATTTATATGATTATAATTTATTTGACACCAGTCTCTTGCTACTTTTGTGACTTATTTAGAATTTATTATTATCATTTATATATTTTGTTCTTTTTATTGTGATGTGGGAGCTCCTGCATCCAAATATTTTGTGGATCAATAAAGTTTATCTAAATCTAAAGTCTCAAAAATACATGTCTGACTATAAGAACCTATAAACAGTGTAGTGACATGAGTGAGTGCACATACCTGTCCTGTCTCTTGGGCGTGTGGCTCTGCCCGTTGGCCAGGCCGTGCAGGGGCAAGTGGGCACTGGGGGTCTTGGGGAAGGCTGAGGTAGTGTTGGAGCCGGAGGTGCTCAGGTCCAGCCCCTCCGCCTGCTTCAGGGGCTCCTCAGAGCTCGGGACCCCAGACACCTCCTTCCACAGCTGCTGCAGGTCTGACGGGCACATCGCTGTGAAAGAAATCAAACAGTACGGATCACTGACTGGGGAGTAGATGTCTTGCAGATGTCTTTATTGTTGCATCTGGTATCGCAGGCGCACTTTATAAGCCTAATAGATACCCAGGAAGACATGATTACTGTAGGATTTTTGTCATTGTGTTCAAGTGCCCAGTCACAATATCGAGCTTTTTGAAACAAGTAATGAAGCCAGGTCAATTTTAAGTTATGCAATTGTATAAGAAACACTCCAAAACATTCACACTTGCTTTAGATTTCAGTTTAGTTGTATTTTAGTTATGGTTAGTCTTGATCTAGTCCAGTTTTGTCACAATTTTAGTGTATGTATGTGTATATGCGTCTATATATCTATATCTATCTATCTATCTATCTATCTATCTATCTCTATCTCTCTCTCTCTCTCTCTCTCTCTCTCTCTGTCTCTCTCTCTCTCTCTATATATATATATATATATATATATATATATATATATATATATATATATGTGTGTGTGTGTGTGTGTGTGTGTGTGTCGCGGATACAAGCAGTTGAAATGAGTTTCCTCTGCAGGGTGCCTGGGCACTCCCTTAGAGATAGGGTGAGGAGCTCAGTCACACGGGAGGAGCTCGGAGTAGAGCCCCTGCTCCTCCACGTTGAGAGGAGCAGCTGAGGTGGCTCGGGCATCTGTTCCAGATGCCTCCTGGTCGCCTCCCTCAGGAGGTGTTCTGGGGAGGTCCCACCGGAAGGAGGCCCCAGGGAAGGGAAGGACACATTGGAGGGAATGCCTCGGGGTCCCCCGGAAGAGCTGGAGGACATGTCTGGGGTGAGGAAGTGTGGGAGTCCCTGCTTATGTCCTGCGACCTGGCCCCGGATAAGAGGAAGAAAATGGATGGAGGGTCTGTCACCTGCTTGTCTCCATGGTGATGTTGCTTAGCCTGAAGTGTTCCAGTTGTTTCTATTGCTCAAAAATACAATCATTCTTTCTGTAAATAAATTCTCCACAGATTTGTGCTGTATTGTAGTGTAGTGCTGTAACCTGCTTGTCTCCCTTGTGATGGATAGGTTTACTCTATACTGTGGAGTATAGAGTATAAGTTTCACAGTGTGCCTTTAAGTAGTATGACCAATAGGCAGCAGTCAAGTTAATGACATTTTTAGTCTTCCTCTAGTCTCTCTGTTTCCTGGCTGCTCTGGTCTAGCCTCACTCCGAACAATTTTCCTATTAACGACCTAATATTGTTAAAACTCCTAACGCAAACTTACACAAAATCGCACAAAATCCCATAATTGTAACAAACGATTTCATTTGAAACCAGGCCTGCTCTGGCATTGAAACAATCCTTGACACCTTTTAGTGCCTATATTGTTATTCCATCTCCCGTTACACATTACAGCGGTCTCCCTGTAGCTCCACGGCCAGCCCCAATAGACCTTCACACACAAGCACACTGAGAGACCTTCCAGAAATCTAAATATTATGTCTGCTTTGTCTGCGTTCCTGAGCCGCCCCGCCAAAATAAAAGTTTTCTCCGAGGAGGGATAAGGTGCTGCGTGCTTGTTCTGTGCCACATGTGTGTTTATGTTTGTCCATTATCCAAGAAACCCAGACCACTTTCCGAGCACGCCCAGTACGAGGAGAATGAGAGCAGTGTTTGAGAGATGCTTAGATAAAGGTTTTCCTGCTTATACTTTCAAACATGTGCAACAGTGAAAAGAGAAATAAAAAGTAGTAAATATTTTGGTAGGATTTTTATTGGTTATACACAGGAGTGGCAGAGTTGTTTTCTGTGGTCACATCTGCCCCGATGTTGGTTGGTAAAGACGGTCATTCTGTGCAGGTGGTCACTGTTAAAGGTGCATTGGGTAACTTTTTTGGTGTCCGTCCATCAAATGTTTTTTTCCAAGGAGATGCTGTTGCTTTGTCTGGAATGTTTTACAGTATGGTAATAAACCTTTCTATCTTCATGGAGACCAAACTGGACCAAGTTACAGGTCAGATCTGTGGAGAGGCGACCCCACTCAAAGTCAGAACGTTGTTTTTTTAAAGGTATTTTTCTATAAAATCACCTGTAATTGAATAAATGTAAAGTAGATCAGTTAAATGTCATACTGTGGAACATTCATTTTACTTGATTTTGAGGAGAGCCTTCTATAATATTCCAGAGTATGCCATAAAAAAATGTATCTCCATGGAGAATAGGGGTGTGCAAAAATACTGAAATATCAATATATCATATCATTTAATATGATGATACTGTATCAGTATCGTGGGCTGCTGTATTAGTATATCGCCAAGAGTATTTTTTGGTGTATTTTACAAAATTATTTTGTTACAGTGATACAGTTTTGTAGCCAGGCTGGCGCCACCTAGTGCCTCCGCTCAATTTCATGTCTCTCCAGGGACTAGGTCAGGAATCAAAATACTATAGATGGTTTTCAAAAAACTAAAAGTGTGAGTTTTGGCACCAGCCAATCAGCGAAGAGCCATACATTCTGTGTTGTCACCAATTCCCAAAATCGAGGATTTAAAGCCGGAACAAAGAGAATGTTTGGTGAATTTTATCAAGGGGAAAAACGTGCTTGTCCTTCTTCCTATGGGATTTGGGAAAAGCTTAATATACCAGTTAATAGCCCTGTTAGCAGTGCATTACATATGTCACAACCAAATAGCAACGATTGGTTAAATAAAAAAAGTATCCGCCTACCGTCGAGCAAATGAATTCTAACGCTTCGAGGTCAGCCGTTTTTTTTGCTTGTTCAGAGGGAAGAAACTCGTTTATGTAAAATATTTGACATTTTCACTGTTTTGATGATTAAAATGTTTGTGTTTCATGTTCACTTTGCACAACAAGTGGTTTAACAAAGACTTTTAGTGTCACAGCCATGATTTAGCCTTAATTTTTATTGATCAGTATCGAATCGATTTGAAATATATCGTATTGAATCGTATCAAATCGTAAGCTCACTGTATCAAGATATGTATCATATCAGAAAGTTACACACTGTAGCTTTAAGAATCACCAATAAAGACATGTAAAAAGAGACTATTCAACTCAACTTTTATGGAGTACTGGCATATACAACAATACAAGCCCCCCCCAGTAGTATTTGTTAGTTAACTGCATAATTTGTATGTTTTATCTCTCTTGAAAATCCATAAGTTATTAATTATATTTGTCTTTGTCTAATAACATCAGTATTAATTATCTACAGTCAGTCAGTCAAGGCCAGTACAGAAGCATTTTCACTTTTTTTCCAACTTTAGCTTGAAAGAATTGAGATAACTGTTTGCCAGTATACACATTCACTTTTTAAAACTACACCCTAGAGCAGATGGATGAAGTACTCCATTGTGTTACTAAAGAAAAAGTACAGATACAAAGGTAGAAAGTTACTCATGTAAAACTAAAAGTATCATAATCTAATTAAAGTACCCAAGTACAGCAAGTACAAGTATTCTGCATAGATTTTTAGAACAATTAAAAAATAAAATAAAATTTCTAGCAGTTTTTGTGTATTTGGTTTGCTCAAAGTTGGGCTGTTAACTCAAATTAAATGTGCTATGTTACTTTTCTGTCCTGATCTAACTGTAAAATGTACTTAAGTAAAGAACAGATACCTACAATTTGTATTTAAGTATACGGAATTGTGAAAGAAGCGATTCCAGACCAGGTAGAGAGTAGAAAGAAGTACTTTTATCTGATATCAGAATAGTGAAGGTCCCAAATTCATGCTTCCAGTATTCTACTTTTGTACTTTGTTACGTTCCATCACTGCCCTAGAATGTGTGTGTTGCAGAAATTTAACAGAATTTCACAATATTCTCCTGTATTTGACATAAACCAATTCAAACAGATTACATTAGAATGATCACAACTTGATTACATTTCCTGGTACAAGTTCTGATATCTTTAACCATCTCTGCCAATCATTTTGAGGTCGTTTTGAACCGCCTCACAAACCGTCTGTCAATACACGCCTTCTGTTTTTAATAAGAGCGATCCATCTTTGCCGAAATACATGATTTTTGGGTGATTTTCCAGTATTTGAGATAAAGCAGGCCCGTGAAACGTGCTCGCATGGCTCTCCTCCTGTCTGCTCTTTGTCGGGGCTGTCCAGTGGAACAGTGGAATTCCCCTCAGTCTGAGCTGTTCCTTTGTGACCACTCGATGAGGCGTGAGCTGCAGCATTCCTCTGCCCGGACTACACACACACGTACACTAATACACATACACACACTAATAACAAGCGCGCACACAATACTAGGGAGTAGTGTTGCTGCATACTAAACTACAAGCTCAATTTCGATACTAAAGAATAGATTTGATATCGATTCCGACACTAAAAACATTCATCCTTTAGAATGTGATTTTCAACATTACATCAGTAGTCAGTATTTGTCGTGAGTACTTTTTGTTTGTACTAGTGGGAATTTTTGTTGTTTTTGATCAGATTTGAGCTGAATTTATAACTTTATGAGTCACAGCAAGAAGGTTCCAAGTTCAACTACCGGGCCTTTCTGTCCAGAGTTAACCTGTGTCTCCCTGTGTCTGGGTGGGCTTCCTTTGGTTTCCTCCATCAACCCAAAACATGCACAAAAGGTCAAATCCTCCTGACCAAAACTCATTCAAGATTTGGAAATGGGTCCCCTGGCGGTGCCCAGCAAGAGTTCAACTCCAACGAACGTTCCAAAAACATCACAAAATATGCATACACTAATAAATGATTTTTCCTGCAGATAATTCGAAGTTGTCCTTGACTTTTCTTCTCAAACTAGGATCTATAACAGAACTATTCCAGGTCTAATCGCGGACTAAATTAGATCTAAAAGTGGACGGCATTGTAGTTCTAAACAAGAAATTATCCAAACGAGGACAAAAAAGTGGATAAAACGAACTCTAAATTAGGCAAAACCACAAACTGAAAAGCTGTCCAAGTACCAGCTGAAGGAGCTCACGTACCACTAATAGTACACGTACCATAGTTTGAGAAACACTGCCATTGTATATAGTTTTTGGGCCTTTTAATAGTCCAGTGAGCTGAGAGGAAGTCCCATGTTACGGATATGTGCGAGCCCCTAAAGCATTTCACTGTGTGTGAGCTACAGTAATTCTTCACAGCCACACCCACACCAGCGAGGCAGGCGGGGCGGGCAAAAGTCAACATTTATTGTTCTAACGTGCCCCAAATCAAACGCACCGTGCAAGAAGTCGCTCCAAAAAACCCACTGGGCACATGGGCCAATTGTAAAACAAAGATGCCCCACGATCTGGCTAATCTCAAATGCAACACACACGAACGGGACCTGAGCCTCCACACCTGCACCTCCACAGAACAGGGGGAGCTAAAGACCACATTTTACCTATTATCCAAATGAGTGCCTTCCACAAAGCCAACAATCAGGAGCGCTTTTATCTTTTATAGGCTGATTAAGTTAACAGGCTTCACATGTGGCAGTGGGCACGGGGGGCTGCTACAGTGTGTGTGGGTGCAGGGGGTCGGCCATATTGGACATGACTCCTGCTCCTGTTTCTGTTCAAGTGAGTGAGAGGATCAACTTAAGAGGTTAAAGATGAAGTCTGGATTATTTTATACAGCACTGTAGCTTTAGGGGTTCAAGCCTTTCACTTGTTCAGAAATGTAATGTGTGTGTTGTTACTGGTGACCCTTTTAATTAAATACAATCAAAATCATACATGAATTATATTTTTAAATCATGAGGTCAGTCAATCAGCAATCAGCTCAACAAGTCACAAAAAAGTGTCATTCAAAGTTTGTGACACTGTGAGACGAGGTTAAATCTGGAGTAAACATGTATTTCTTTGACTGTTGTGCACCTCTGTGCCATGTTTGAGCGTCTCTGTAATGGAGTGCATATGGCTGGTGCTGCCTGCATTATGTGTGGTGCTTCGATGAACAGCAAAGCAGCTGTTGCGAATGTGTGCTAGCTTTGTTTTGTTAAACATGTTGGATCAACACATGTTGAGTTGCCATCACTGGGGATACAGGGAAAACACTTTCAGATTGTACTGATCCAGTGGAAACAACGCTCATATTTCATATCTGTTTACCCCCACTGGCTCTTACAGATTTACCCTGTTGTAGTAACTGCAAGTGTTTTGGTTATAATGGTATTACCTCGTTCTAGTGACTAGTGTGTACTTTACTTCACCCTGATGTAGTGATCACATGTGTTATATAGATTCATATATAGTATGTACCCTGTTGTAGTGACTGCATGGTGGAGGCAGCTGCATTGGCACCAGGTCTTGCTAGTGGCTGTGATGTGTATGTTAGTTCTTATGTTTTGTTAGTTTGGTGTTATATCATTATGTTTATTGGTTCATATGTATCTTGTTGTATTGGCTGTATATGTTAGGTTGATATATCATATGTCATGTATATATGTACCAGCAGAGATGGGCTGTATGGACACCAGGCATCGTCTCTGCAGGTTGGTGGTTGTTCTGGGTCTATGTTAGTTCTTATATATCTTGGTTCATATATATGTTCCTTATGTATTTACCTTGCTGTAGTGACTGCATGGCGGAGGTGGGCTGTATGGGCACCAGGCCTTGTCTCTGCAGGTTAAGGAGGTGCTGCTGCTGGAGCTGCTGCATCTGGATAAGCTGCTGTTGGAAGGCCAGCTGTTTACTGCCCAGAGGCTGTACAACACACAAACAAATAAACAAACATAGAACAAAAATGTTAGGATCAAGATAAATCAAAGCATCAAATACAATTTCTGTCACTGCATCCTTTTTTTTTTTTTTACTTCAGCTGCAGACCTAGAACCAGACTTTTTATTTTTATTTTTTGTGATTAGTTGTAAAACATTTCGTGAGTCAATATCTTAAGTCAGAGTTGTGAGGAAGTAAAGAGATGCGCCAGAGAACAGAAAGAGGTTCAGAGAAGAGAGAGAGAGACACAACAAGCTGACTGTGATAATGTCCATGTGCCGCTGTGATAAACACTGCTCTACGGCCCCAACAGCCTGCAGGCCCTCCCAGAGAAAGAGAGGGAGAGACCGAGAGGGGGAGAGGAACACTGAGAGAGGGATGGAGAGAGGGAAAGAAAGACAGGGAGACATTAAGTAGAGAGAGAAAGGGAGAGAAAGAAACTCAGTGAAAGGCCTCAACTCACGGAGCTCTTTTCAGATTCAGAGCCTGTGGAGACATGGACTGTGGTGACAACATCACTTTGGACAAATGTTATTGGAAAAAAAATAAGTAAATACAAAATGTCACTGTTTGGAATCTCACAATATACTTATTTTTTAACAGGGAAAATGTAATACTATATACTGTTTATTATATTGAGATTCACAGCCCTAGTTATACCATTGCTGAGATGATGAAACACTTCGGTTTTCCGACTTTTACCCCTTGTTCTCATGATGGCTGTAGTAATATTATGTAATTCAAAATGGAATGCCTTTACTCCAATCTAAATCTATGCCACTTGTTCTGGTTCACTTCTCCAGGACACTCCCGAAGCCCGTGTCCACAATAACTGTCTCATCCCCGGCATCTCAACCGGAGTCTGGCCTAGTTGTCTGTCTCTCCCCCCACAGTACTACACCAGCAGTCCTGCAATACACTCTATACTGTGTGTGTGTGTATGTGTGTGTGTGTGTGCTGTTTACATTAGGCAGGGCTGAGTGGCTAAAGCTAGCGCAGTAACAGGCTGTCATTGTGATTTATGGGCCCATCACGCAGTGTCTGAGGCTGCCACTCAAGCCTCCGACGGGCGCTCACTTCTGCCCCTGACGACACCCGCCACTTCATTAAGCCCCTGCCAAATCTACAGCCGCGGCCACGGCGACGCAAGCCGGACACAGAAGCGAGGGGACGGTGGTGACGCGTGGTGGACGCGTGGAGGCGAAGTGACCACAGCGACGAAGGCTAGATATCGAGACAACGGGACCATGGCGACACGGGCCGGCCATGGTGACGCAGGGTGGACATGGAGACAAGGTGACAAAGGCGATGCGGGGTGGACACATGGAGGCGAAGTGACCATGGTGACACGACTAGACAAAGAGACAATGGGACCATGGCGATGCAAGCTGGACATGGAGACGAGGAGACCGTGGTGATATTGGGTGGAGACATGGAGACAACGTGACCACAGGGATGTAAGGTGGACAACTGGACACACGGAGATGAGGGGACCATCGCAATGCAGGCCGGACACGGAAGCAAGGGGACCATGGGGACGCTGGCTGGACAAGAGGAAGAAGAAGAAGTGACCACAGCAATGCAGGCTAGTTACGGAGACAATGGGACCATGGCGACGTGGGCGGGACATGGACATGGAGACGAGGCAACCATGGCGAAGCGGGCGGAACATGGACATGGAGACGAGGCAACCATGGCGAAGCGGGCGGGACATGGACATGGAGACGAGGCAACCATGGCGAAGCGGGATGGACACATGGAGACGAAGTAATCATGGTGACGCAAACTGGACATGGAGACAAGGCAACCCCAGCGACGTAGGGTCGACACATGGAGGCGAAGTGACCATGGCGATGCATTTTGCACATGGAGACGAGGAGACCACAGCGGGCCGGAGTGGACACGTGGAGACGAAGTGACCATAGCAATGCAAACTGGACATGGAGACGAGGCGACCATGGCGACATGGGGTGAACACATGGAGGCAAAGTGACCATGGCGACGCAAACTGGACATGGAGACAAGGTGACCATGACAATGTAAGGTGGACACGTGGACATATGGACACAAGGTGACCATGGCAACGCAAGGTGGACACATGGCGACGAGTGGGCCATGGTGCTGCTGGCTGGACATGGAGATGAGGGGACCATGGTAACTTGGACCTGACATAGAAATGAGGCGACCGTGGCAACGTGAGGTGGACGCATGGAGACAAAGTGACCACGGCGACGCAGGCCAGACACTGAGATGAGGTCACCATGGCAACCCATGCCTGACATTGAGATGAAATGACCATGGCGACAAGTCCCAAATATAAATATAAAAATGGAAAAAGTCAAAAGCACTCAAGCACAGATAGTTTCAATTTGTCCTGTTAGTATTTTTGGAAGTGTTTGACTCTTAAGACTGATTAAGAAGTAAAGTCATCAGACCAAAAAGTGTGCTGTTTTGCAAGTATTGAAAAAAATTCCATCCATTAGAATATTATATAAGAAAAATATAGCCTCTTACATCAGTCAATTAGAAGATGACTTAGACAGTTTGTGTTTTTTTGGCTGTAAAAAAAATCAGATTGGCAGAAAATTAAGCCAAAGTCACCTACAAATGGAGAAGGATTTGGAAAGTAGAAAGAAGTTTGGCCAAAAAAGTTACTTATTAGATGCTATGAGGTCATTTTGAGGCCAGATTTGCTTCTCGCTATTGGTCAGTAATGACAGAAAATAAAGGACACTGAATTTGTGAATAAGATAAAGAATCGGCTTATCAAAATTAGACTTCTTTTGAGGGTTCGACATTAAAGTGGGATCAAGACAAGACCAGACCAGATGGAAAATTTGCCCTTTGCATTTAACCTAACCCTTAATGCCAGTAGGGTCAGGAGAAGAGGCTAGGTTGGTCTGAAGGATCATGCATGTTTTAAGTTAAAGGGACAGTTCGGAATTTTGGACATAGGACCTCATTTCCTAGTGAGCCAGAGTGTTGGAGACGTGTGGAAACACTTTTAAAAATATTCCATCCAGTCCTTGTATTTGCAGAGGTCGCTGGTGCTAGGCTAGCGCATGTCAATGGTCATAGTTAGCGTGCTGCTAAAAACAATCTTACCCACTCCACAAAGCACTCGAGGCAAAACAGTTACTACGCCAGACTGTCGATGTGAATGTCTGAGTTGATAGAATAATTTTAGAAGTGAAACAAACCTTCCATTTGAAGGATTTCTGTCTGAGCAGCAGCAGTGAGTTGTACTTCCTGATAGAAAGCTTGGCAGCGGTGGACTGATATGTGAGAAAATAGTCCCTCAATATGCAAGGTTTTATTTCAAACATTATTCTATCAACACAGACATTCACATCGGCAGTCTGGTGTAATAATAGATTTCCTTTGGGTGCTTTGTGGAGTGGGTAAGACTGTTTTTAGTGGCAGGCTAACTATGGCCATTGACATGCACTAGCCTAGCACCAGTGACCTCTGCAAATACAAGGACTGGATGGAATATTTAAAAAAGTATCACCACATGTCTCCAACACTCTGGCTCACTAACTAGGAAATGAGGCCCTGTGTCCAAAATTCCAAACTGTCCCTTTAACAAAACCCACCCAGACACAAGGAGAACTCACAAACCACACAATTAGTCCAGGATTTGGCAATCAAATCCACTGACTATTCTATATTAACAGGCCAATTATTATTTAATCGGAAAACCTTTAACCTCTCCATTTATTTTTAGACGCATTCTTTATTTCATCACCTTCAGATCCCAGTTAACCCCAGTCACTCTCCAACAGAACAAAACAGCATTAGAATACCTGTCATGTCCGGCTTTCATTTTGACATATGTATTACACCGTCGGCTCCCGCTCCACCAGGTACGTCTGAGAGCCCCGCTATTGACAAGTGAGACGCGCGAGGGCCTTAGTCATATCAGCTGTTCGGAAAACCTCTCCACGGGGCCCTATTCTGTCCCGCGCGGCCATGTTTGTGCGTTCGAGCGTGGACGAATCAAAATCCCGCCCCTCCCCGGTACACCCCCCCACCACCACCACCACCCACCATCTCAAACCCCCCCACCCCTCCGCGGAGAGACCAGTGTTTGCACTTGTCGAGATCTGGCAGCACAACCAACCTGAAATGTAGGACAGATCGGACGAGAAGAGGGAGAAGGGGGGGAAGAGGGAGAGAGAGAGGGAGCAACATGCGTGTCAAAACCCCACGACTGGTTTGCCTTGGTCATGGATGAGAGGAGAGGGGGATGAGGAGGAGGAGGAGAAGAGAGAAGAGGGAAGCGTCTGGGGGGGAGGCTGCCCCACCGGGACGAGGAGATCAGAGAAAAGAGTGGAAATTTAAGGACATGTCTCTTCAAGTGGTTATCGCCATCGGGAGGGGGGGTGTGAGGGGTTTGAGAAGAACGAGATGAGATAAAGCTGAGTCTAGTAGTTGGAACTGTACTAGTAGTAGTAGTAGTAATAATAGTAGTAGTAGTGGTAGTAGTAGTAGTAGTGGTAGTAGTAGTGGTAGTAGTGGTAGTAGTAGGAGTAGTAGTAGTAGTAGGAGGAGTAGGAGTAGTAGGAGTAGAAGTAGTAGTAGGAGGAGTAGTAGTAGAAGTAGTAGTGGTAATAGTAGTGGTAGTAGTGGTAGTAGGAGAAGTAGTAGTAGTAGTGTTAGGAGGAGTAGCATGTGTGAAGAATAACTGGTGGAAATAGATGAGATAAAACAGTACTTTTGCTTATGTAATAGAAGCAATAATATAATAGTACTGGTAGTAGTATCTAGAGCAATACCACAGTAGTCCAAGTGGTATAGAATGTTAGAATGTAGTTCAGTTAGTCCAGAGTAGAAGTAGTTATAGCTATGGAGGTGATTAGTAGTAGTAGGAGTAGCATAGTTTAATACTTAGAAGTAGTAATGCCAGTAATGCCTCTAATGCCTGGAGGTATCAAGGGACAATATAATGGTAGTAGTACTACTAGCTCTTCTGTTGCTTTGCTGCTTAGTTAAATGACCTCTTTCTTTCATTTGTATGTGTTCCACAATCTCTTTCCATAGTTAGACGTAAGCGTTAGTCCTATAGAAGCACATGTGGATAACATGGATAAACCAGGATCACATCACAAAGAGCGTCTCCATCACTCAAACAGATTAGTGTCACCCCCTCACCACAGGGGGCCCTCTACTGCACTGGCATCAAAGTGATAGACGAAATACTACTGCAACTATCAGTGACTACACAATCATGCCAATGCAAAAATGTACAGACCTCCTGCAAAAGAAACGTTATTGCTTTACCTGGAATGTTTCACAGTATGGAAAAAACAAACATACTGTATGTATCTTGCATTTGAAACATTTCAGATGTTTATTGGTAAAATATACCCTTAAAAATGGACAGTGAGCGGGCTCACCTCAGATCCACACATCAGAACTGTAACTTGGCCTTGTAGCGTCACCATAGACGGTATAAAAGAAGTGTTCTAAGCGAGTGTGACGTCACCCATTACGTTCAGTGCCGCTCAAATGAGGCTCATGATGCTCACGGTTACAGGAGCGAATCTGGAGCCAGGATCTATGTTATGAAATTTTTTTTTGATGGACAAAATTGTGAAAAAAAAATCTGGATCATGTAGAACGGATTAATACAAACATTTTAAAACCAAAATGACGAGGCTCCACTGCAGTTACAGAGAGAGGGGTGACATGATCCCAATGTAAGTCAATTGGAAGCCAGAGTCAGAAGGAGCAGGAAGAGCCTCCTGGTGAACTTCCTATTTGGCACATGGCAGTTTGCTATGTCCACTCATATACACAGTCTATGGGCGTCAATTACTGCTTCATGAAGATAGACATGTTGAATGCTACACTGTGGAACATTCCAGGCAAAACAAAATGCTGTATTTCTATTTGATATATTCCATTCAATTTTATGCTGCTTGCTTTTAAAATTGTGATTTTGCCAAGACATATAGCACTTTGTAATAATAGTTCTAGGAGTACAGTATTAGTATTAGTAGTAATCATAGTAGTATAAGCAGTAGTGGGTTTATTTTTTCCACAGCCACTTGTCTTAAATTGAATATATGGTTTCCGTGCAATTCCTCAATGTAAAGAAATGTTCTAGTGCTCCCACATGTGTACATATTATAGATTGGACCACTCCATGTCTGAGCACCCTTCAGAGCACCCTTGAGTAGACACATTAGACTGCATTACGGTAAGTCTGGGTAGGTGTGGGACCTGACCTCTTTGGGGGGCTGCTTGCCAACCTGCTGCTGCTGCTGCTGTTGTTGTTGTTGTTGTTGTTGTTGTTGGGACAGGAGCTGGAGATGCAACTGCTCCTGCTGTTTCTTGTAGTACTCCTGCAACTACACAAAGGTACGGGGTTAGACCTGAGATGTTCAGATGAATACATTTTTATAGTTCATGGTAATATATATGTGACTGCAGGTCCGTCCACATAAATTTGGAGGCCCAGGGCAAAAAAACAAAACATGGGCCCCCACTCTAATATAAATTAATAAGAAGCTACCAAGAGATAGTTGTTAATAAAGTGAATAAAATAGAAAATAAGCCATACAAATAAAAACAAAAATGATATGATGATTGACAGAACATAGGGTTATCTGTTACACAAGGGTGAGTTGTTGTACAGTTGTGAAATGTGTGAAATAGAGCAGTGGCATATTTTGATTCAATGGTAGGAGATCATGCAAAAATATCAAAACTTCATAATGAATTTTTTTTTAGTTACACAAAAGTTTGATTTATAATAACGTTGTGTCAGTGATCGGAAAATGGCAAAGTTAGACACACAAAGAAAATTTGACAGTAGGTTAAGTTAAGACTATTCAGTTCATTGAAAATAATAATTACCCGGGTCACAATACAATCATACAGTCATGAGAACTAAAAAAATAATACAAATACAAATAATGTGGGGAATTTGAGAAGCAAATACGAAGCCATTTCGGGTCAGTCTGTACTCCAAAAACAACAAGCCTATAAGCCAAGTTATATGGCTGCTTATATCTCATTAACTTCACATTATCACTGAGAAAATTGGGGTCCTTAAAGCATATTCACAGATACTTTATTTCATATTTTTCCAGTGTGTGAAACATTGGGCTATTGTGCATTCTTCATAGGCATATAGCATATTTGGATAGTGTAAGTCTTTTGACGAGGACATACTGAAATGGTTTGGGAATCGCAGTACTATGTGTGTGTATGTTTTTGTTTTTTTTTATTACATACTTTTGTGTACTCAAAAACATCCAAAACTCAAAGTGTGCTGGTCCCAGCCGAGTTAACCCCAGTCGCTCTCCAACAAAGCAAAACAGCATTAGAATACCTTTCAAGTACTAAGTGACATCACGCAGAATCACCTGGATATAACGCCCGGATTATAAAATGATGTTTCTGATTACAAACCATACCCACTTGTCAAAGCCTGATTCCGTAAGATCCCAGAAGCTAAGCAGGGCCGGGCCTGGTTAGTACTTGGATGTGAGACCACTGGGAAAATCAGGTGCCACAGGTGTCACAAAAACTGTTGTTATGTCCTTAGGCAAGGCACTTCACCCTCTTTGCCTAGTATGAAAGTGGTGTGTGTGTGAGTGATGGCGTTGGTTGGATGGCGCAGATTGGTAGCCTCGCTTCCATCAGTCCACCCCGGGGCAGCTGTGGCTACAATAGTAGCTTACTACCACCGGGTATGGAGTGAATGAATAATGCTCTGTAAAGTGTCTTTGAGTGTCCAAAAAAAGTGCTATATAAAACTGATACATTATTATTATTATTATTATTATTAAACATCTAGCTGAGGGGGCGGAGTTTGAACTGTGGATACCTGTTTGACCAATCACACTGCTCCCTATACATCCAAACTCCGCCCCTCCTCCTCCATTTCAATCAGTCAGTCAAACTTTATTTATAGAGCGCCTTTCATACAAAAAAAAACAAACCAAAAAAAAAAAAAAAAGCAACACAAAGTGATTTACTTCCAGGTACTGCCCAGTTTAGCAGCTCTGTTTGAAATAATGTGGTTGTGGGAGGAGTTTGCGTGTTTAGTCCCGCTTTAACTCAGACCCAACCCGGGACTAAACCTGGACTATAGCAGGAATGAAGCAAGAGGTGAACACGACAGGACCGGGTTTAAATCTGGACTCATTTCAGCCATTTAAAACTCATTAGGAAGGCAAGCAACGAGAAGCATCCGGCCTAACTACTGTACAAAATACATTCTTTAGCTTCAACTCTCACCTTCTGATAACATCTCTCACGATTCGCCACAAGGAAATCTATAATTTATGAGTCCGATTTAATGAACAACAAATGAAACATGTAGAATTTGATCTTACATCTGCACCCTGCCTGTATAATTCTCCGTCTCTCTCTCGCACAGATGTAGCGGCGAGTCTCCAGTGGCCAGTCGGGCTCCTGTTTGTTTGACTTAGTAATTATTCATTTACTCAAGAAGCCCATTAAGATTATGATCTGAGGAGATTGGAGAGAACAGAGGAGGAAGTGTGTGTGTGTGTGTGTGTGTGCGTGTGAATGTGTGGTCAGTGTTATTCTGCACTTTAAACAGCCAATGGGCCTTTTAGCAACAAAACAAAAACATACAACTGGAGTCTAAACAGAAAAGAGGAAAAAAGACTATTGAAATGGACCTTGTAAACAATGTGCTTTCTATGGCAGCCAGGATGGTGGCCAGTATAAATATGGCTAACCTACAAAGATTTTAGCAACGCACAACATTAAAACAACACGGTACACATTTAAAATAACAAGGATTCCGTGGAAACAGAAAGTTAAAACCATACTTCAGAGCATGGGGATGGAGATAGATGAGATAAAGGTGGGTTGTGTAACTTTTCTGCTGGAGGTTCAGTCACTTGCTTGTTTGTTTCTATGGAAATGTCATCGGTCTGGCCTGGAATGTTCCACAGTATGACATTAAACAGATCTATGTAAGGCTGTGCAATTAATTTTATTTTGATAGCGATTTTGATATGTGTGTCAAACGATCTCCAAACCCATATAATCGAGTTGAAACGATAAAGTTTATTTGGGGATATTTTTTTATATAAATAAGTACATCTATTTTACTTTTTAAATATAGAGATTGTAGAACAGCTGGATATATATAGTTTATTTTGGATACATTATATATTTATTTTCACAGATGCTTTACAGAGCATTATTCAGCATTATTCATTCACTCTATACCTGGTGACGGTAAGCCACTATTGTAGCCACAGCTGCCCTGGGGCAGACTGACAGAAGCACGGCTGCCATGCCAATCGGTGCCATCGGTCCCTCCAACCACCACCATCGCTCATGCACACACCACTTTCATACTAGGGAATATTTATGTTTTTCTATGACTTATTTCATGTTCAAAGTATATTTTATTCTTTCTTTTGTTTTTTGTTTTATACATCACAAAACTGCTCTAAGGTTCATATTTGGAGCCTATATTTATTTTCAACTTGAAAGTTTTGAGGAAATTATCAATAATTATTATCAATAATTTTTTTTTTTTTTTTTTAAGAGAGAAATTGCTGAATAAATGCACTGTGTAACTAAAAAATAATCATTTGAATAATATTTTTTTTCCACAATTGAGCAGCCTTAGCTCTACGTTACATTTTTTTTTTTTTTAATTACAGGTGGTTTTATAGCTCAAAAATACATGGAAAAACAAGCGTTCTGACTCTGAGCCAGGTTGCCTCTCCACAGATTTGGCCTGTAACTTGGTCTGGTTTGGTCTCCGTGAAGATAGAACGGTTTGATACCATACTGTGGAACATTCTAGAAGAAGTAAATCTCCATAGAGAAAAGCATTTGACCAGAAATGTTACGCAATACAAGAATATAGTCAAAAGAACCAAAAGAGAGTCTCCTTCATGCCAAATATGAGTTTGTGGAGATGCAAGCTCGCTCACAGTAAGGAGAAAGTGTAAAAGTGTCCAAAATGAAAAATCAGATATGCTTTTATTTGTGTCTATTTTCTTCTGTTGCTTTATTTAAAATTGTTGAAAACTTTTCAACATTTTCTACCAGATAAGTACAAAATGTTGCTGTTTTCTTTCATTCGAAGTTTTGTATAAACTGTATCAACTTTACAGTGATATGCCAATGACCTTATTTGGTAATAATATTTACAATTCACTGGCCACTTTATTAGGTACAGTTATAATTCGCAGCATGGCAGTGATTCAACGCTTTTTGTCAGAGGCGCTAATGAATAATAGAACTAAAGCAAATGGTGCCGACTCTATTAATTCAATCAGTGTAGTCGTATGGAAGCAGTGGCAGAGCCATTTCACAGGTCATTATACCAGATGCCCTTCCTGTTTGAACTCGCAATTAACTGCGCCTCAGTGCGGACATGAACCTCACACATACTAGTACATTTCAACTGTGATCCTAGAGTTATTGGTAGGGATGTAACAATAACTGAAATATCGTGATATCGTATCGTTAAAGTTCTCATAATAAGTTCTCATAATAACATTGTGGACCATCACAATATATCGAATGACAAGTCTCTTTGATTAAATGAAGAGTTATGGTGCAGCAATAGCTAAAAAAAAAAGACAGAGAACTACATAGACCATGATCCTTTGCTCCATTTCAGTGCAGACTACAAGAAGAAATAACAGTTCTAACACTTAGTTTTTTGGATTTAGTCTTGTCAGGGCATTTTAAGAAGAAGTAGCACATTCACAGTTTTGCATCCACAAAATATCGCAATAAATATCGTACCATGAGATGTATATCGTGAAAATATCGTACCAAGAGATTTGGATATTGTTACATCCATAATCGTGAGCCTCCCCACCATATCATGAGCTTTCCCACGATATCGCAATAAATATCGTACCGTGAGGTTCATACCGTGATGATATCGTATCGTGAGACTTGGATATATTTACACCCCTAGTTATTGAGCAAACATTTACCCACTACTCATTCAGGATTTAACGAAATCCAAGTCTCTCAAAATTATATTGATTCTTTGCTCTGTTTCAGTGTAGACTACAAGAAGAAATAACAGTTCTAAGCACTTTTAAGGTTTAGTTCTTTGGATTAAGTCATGTCAAGGTATTTTAAGAGGAAAAAGTTGCACATTAACAGTTTTGTTTGCCTCCACAAATTATCGCAATAAATATCGTACCAAGAGATGTGGATATTGTTACATCTATAATCGTGAGTCTCCCCACTATGTCGTGAGCTTTCCCACGATATCACAGTAAATATCACAATAAATATACCGTGAAGTTCATATCGTGATGATATCGTATCGTAAGACTTGAATATTGTTACACTCCTAGTTATTGGGCAAACATTTACCCAC